ATATGTGTGTATTGGAAAATATACACACATATGTGTATGTGTTCTGCAAATTAAAGGGACTGTATCATTGTGAATCTTGTTTATCTCTTTTAACAAGACAATCTCCAGTTCTATCCATTTCCCCACAAGCACCATAATTGCATTCTTCCCTATGGCTGAACAAAAGCATGACATTTTCTTTACCCGTTCACCTGCTGATATCTGGACTGTTTCCATAGCTTGGCCATGGTGAAAAATGGAACAGTAAACATGGATGTGCATGTGTCTCTGTGGCACAGTCCCAGGAGTGGTACAATTAGATCACATGGTAGTTTTTATTTGTTTGTTTGTTTTTCATGGGGAATGCAGTGAGGCCTGATGTAACCTAGGCTGACCTTGAAGTCATCTTACCTCTGTCTCCCAAGTGAGAGGCTTGCAACACCACACCTGTCTGATTTCCACAGTGGCTGCACAAGGATCCTTCTCTCAACACATCCTCAACAGCATTTGGAGTGTGTGTGTGTGTGTGTGTGTGTGTGTGTGTATTAAAAAGTTTAATCTTTTGTTTAGTGGGTATGGGTATTTCTGTGCACCATGTGCATGCAGTGCCTATGGAGGCCAGAAGAGGGCATTGGGTGCCCTGGTACTGGAGTTACAGACAACTGTCAGCCACCCTGTGGGTGCTGGGACTGGAGCCTAGGTCCTCTGAAAGAGCAGTCAATGCTCTTATCCACAGAGCCATCTCTCCAGTCCATAATATTTTTTAACATTTATTATACGTGTGTGTACACACACATGCACATCACACATGTCACTGTGGGCATATGGAAACCAAAGAATAAATTGTGAGACTCAATTTTCTTTTTCCACCATGTCGGTCCTGGGGACTTAACTCAGTTTGTCAGGCTTAAAGGCAAGTCACTGAGGTCTTTGTCACTGAGCCATCTTGTAGAGTGCTTACCTAGCATGTACATAGTCCTGAGTTCCACCCCCAGAACCACTTAAAACCAGACACCGTGTCATACATATGCTTGTGACAGAGGCCAACCTGGGTTATAAATGCCCCTTTCAAAAACAAAACAGGCAGTTGTGGTGGCACACACTCTTAATCCAACATCCAAAAGACAGAAGCAGTGATTCTCTAAAGCTCAGACATAGTCTACAAAGCAAGTCGCTGGCTAGCCAGAGCTACACCATGAGATCCTGTATTTAAAAGAAAAAAAATTACAAAAATAGTTTTTAATGTACAAGGCTGTGCTGGCTAGTCTTGTGTAGCACAAATTCTGATTGGTATTAATAATAAAAACCCAGAGTCAGATATAGGGATTAATGCTGAAGACTGAGAAGCAGAACAGCCAGTCACTGGAGAATTTTTACCTCTACCAACACTCAGACCAAAGGGACGATCCTGTCTCTACAAATCTTCAAACTGCAACTCCAGACTGCATCCTCAGACTTTATCTGAGCTCCTGTCTCCTCCTGTCTTATATTCCTCTCTCTGCCCAGCCGTATGCCTTCCTGTCTCTATCTCTCTAGGGCTGGCATTAAAGGCATGTGACTCCCAAGTACTGGGAGTTAAAGGTATGAGCCATCCCTGCCTGGCTCTGTTTTTCTTTTAGACTGGATCAATTCCGTGTAGCCCAGGGTGGCCTCGAACTCACAGAGATCCATTGAACTCACAGAGCTCCGTCTGCCTCCGTAGCCTGAGTGATGGGATTAAAAGTGTGTGCCAACACTGACTGGCCTTTATGGCTAATTAGTGGCTTAGCTCTGTACTCTGATCTTCAGGCAAGCTTTATTTGTCAGATTACAAACAAAATATCACTACAGTCTTATGTTGTAGGGAGTCACTTTGTTCTCCTGTTTGTTCCCCAGCCTCCCAGCAGCTCAGATCCAAAATATATTATATTTTCACACAGAAACTATATTATTTAAATTACTGCTTGGCCCATTAGTTCTAGCTTCTTATTGGCTAACTATTACATCTTAATTTAACCCATTTCTATTAATCTGTGCATCATCACGTGGCAGCGGCTTACTGGGTAAAGTTCCAGCGTCTGTCTCCAATGGAGCTACATGGCTTCTCTCTTATTCCACCTTCTTTCTCCCAGCATTCAGTTTAGTTTTCCCCACCTAACTCTGTTCTACTCTATCAGGCCAAGTCAGTTTCTTTTTTCATTAATGGTAATCACAGCATACAGAGGAGAATCCCATATCACCTTATGTCAACTTAACACCAAACTAGAGTTATCTGAAAGAAAGGAAGCTTAATTGAAGAAATACTTTGATAAGATCAGTCGTAAGACATTTTCTTAATTAGTGATTGATGAAGGAGGTTCCAACCCATCGTGGGTGATGCCATCCCCGGGCTGCTGGTCCTGGGTTCTATAAGAAAGTAGGCTGATGCTAGGCAGTAGTGGCCCATGCCTTTAATCCCAGCACTCAGTAGGCAGAGGCAGGTGGATCTCTGTGAGTCTGAGACTAGTCCTGGTCTACAGAGCAAGTTCCAGAAAAGGCTCCAAAGCTACACAGAGAAACCCTGTGTGTTGGGGGGGGGAGGGGCAGACTGAGCAAGTCACGGTGAGCAAGCCAGTAAGCAGCACCCTTGCATGGCCTCTGCATCAGCTCCTGCTTCCAGGTTACTTCCCTGTCTGAGTCCTGTCCTGACTTCCTTCAGGGATGAACAATGACGTAGAAGTGTAAGCCAAATAACCCTTTCTTTCCCAACTTTCCTTTTGGTCATAGTGTTTCATCACAGCAACAGAAACCCTAACTGAGACAAAGGCCTTGGGTTTGACACTCAGACTTCAATGGGAGAGAATAAAAGACCACAAACTTTCAGACTCATGAAACTAAATTACAACTCCATCTTTTGTACCATTTGACATCACTTAAGCTCTTCAGCCTCAGCTTCTGAGCCATAAAAAGGGATGGTTCTTCTTCTTCATTAATAGTAGATAAATTACTTTTAACATGCATAGATCCAAATGTGGAAGCACACATTTTCTTTATTATTGTTGTTGGTTTTGAGAGGGTCTCATTATGTAGTTCTGGTTGGTCTGGAGCCTGTCAAACCAGGCTGGCCTCAGCTGTAGAAGTGCCCTGCCTCTGTTTTGGTTTGGTTTGGTTATTTGGACAAAGTCCTTGACCCTCTTGATCCTCCTGTTTCCACATCCTCGGGTTGGGACTAGAGGCATGTATCACCATTCAGAAGATCCATCCTCTTCATGTAAGTTCCCTTTCCTTAGCTGTATTTTCTCTAAGGGGCGGAGATAAGAACTGTCCCAGCAAAATCACTCCTCATAAGGATGGTTCCAGCACTTGAAACGGGTGAGAACTTTCCCTTCTTCACAGTCAATGTCTTCAATGGAAGCAGGATACTTGAAATGCAGGGCTGCAAGCAAGGCTTCCTTCTGGGGAGGGAGGAGCTATGTAACTCAGTGAGGGGACAAGCAGTCTTCTGGAGGATCCAATATCACCCCAAGCTTGGTTCGTGAATAACACACATCTTTAATCCTAGCCAGAGCTATATAATGAGATATTGTCTCAAAGAACTTTAATATGCAAAGGCCTGAAGAAATGGCTCATCAGTTAATAGGTTGTTCTATCTGAGGACCTGGGTTCAAGTCCCACCACTCACCTGGTAGCTAACAACCAATTGTAACTCCAGTTCCAGAACATCTGGTACCCTCTTCTGACTTCCTTGGGTACCAGGCACACGGGTGAGGCGTGCACACGGACACACATGTGTGCACGCAGACAAAACACTCATACAAATAAAATAAATAAATCTTTTTTTTAAGTACACATCACATTAGGTTTGTTTTATAAATTAAGTGTTAAATAGCCAGAATGGCGCAGGCAAAGAAAGCACTTGACAAAGTGTTTGATTATTGGTTATTTATAATCTCTTGAGCCCCACGCATGCAAAGAACCACAATGGAGTCAAAAGCACTTTGCAAACTAGGACTTTTAGGTATATTTTCCCTAGATAAAATAATAAGTATTAACCGTGGCCTTTCATGGAAAATTGAGATCGATTCACATCACCAAAAGAGCTGTGGGCTTGTTTCCAGCTGTGATCTTGATTTCTGAGTCCAGAGCCTGGTACTGGAAAGACTTGAAGAGCCAGGCGTGGGTGGAGAAATGTAGCTCCATCAGTCCGTGTGTGCACCCTAGCGAGCTCGAGGTCCTGGATTTGATCCCAGCCACCGTGTCACACACCTGGAACACCAATATTGGGGGGGCAAGGCAGGGGGGACATGGAGTTTAAAGACATCCTAGACAGAGTTCAAGGACAAATTGGGATTCAGGAGACTTTTAAAAACACTTGATGATCCTGAAACTAAAGATGTAGAGGTGTTTTGATTAAAAACACGTGTTTCCCTTTCAAAGGTCTTTTAATTGTTCTCAAGAACAGGGCAAAAAACCTCCTGTCTGAGTTTATGGCTAACTCATTTTTTTTTAATTTTATGTTTGTGGATGAGTGTATGCAGGAGGCTTTCGATCTCCTAGATTGAAGTTAATAACCAACTGTGAGACACCGTGTGGGTGCTGGAGATGAAAACTGGGTATGCCTGATGGGGATCGAACCCTGGTCCTCTGCAAGGGCAGTAAGCCCTTTCAATCGCTGAGCCATCTCTCCAGCCCATAATTCTTTTTCATTTGTCTTATTTTGTTTTGCGTTCGTTTGCTTTTGCGAGACTGGGTTTACAACCAGAGGACTGATTGCCCTGTCTGTGTAGTTCTGGCTGTCCTTGAACTTGTAGACGTTGGCAGCAGATCCCAGAGATCTGCCTGCTTCTGTCTCCCAGTGCAGGGATTAAAATCGTGCACAACCACCATCGACCTATAATCCACTCTTAAAATCTTCTCACTTCTCCTTTTTCCTGGGAGAGAGTGCAGGGTTGGGGCACCAGCAACAGCTTGGGAGAGAGCCAAGTGCCTGCTGAGCAACTCTGACGCTTTGCATGCTCGTGACACAACGTTTCAAATCTCACATCCAGTACCACCAAGACCTTTTCTTACAGCTCCTAGACAGGAGGAACTCCAGGACTTCAGAAGTAGCAGAGTGAGTGCTCACGAGGTGCAGGCTCAGGCCACACCCAGGGAGGAGCAACTAGGGCCCTGCCTAGGGATTCAAGCCAGTGGAAGAGCGGCCCCAGGGCCAGACCTGGAACTACAACCCCCAGGCTCCCCTCGCGGCTGCACGTGGTCCCGCAGCCCCTGAAAGAAAAGTGCAACAGCTTGGCTCAGTGGGAACCGCGTCTTCCGTGCGCAGGAGCAACAGGGTGGCCAAAGTGAGCGTGGTGCCAAGCGGAGGAGCAAAGGTAGGTACGCTGACTGGGTAGCTCAGGGACTGTGAGGGTGACCCTATGGTCTGGGGCCAGTGACACTCGGAATTCTTTGCAGACCCGGAGTAGCCCAGCCTCCAGGATACCTCTTCTGAATAGCCTTTCAACAGAAGGGAATTTAACCATTGACTCTAGTATACCTATCTCGTTTTAGGAGAGGTTACTTTTTTTGGCTTCTTGTTTTGTGTTTTTCAATATCTAAATTTCTAGTTTGCCAAGTATTTTTCAAGTCATTCTCCTTGTTCAGAGGTAAGCAAATCCCCGGCTTCTTTTTAAACTATGCGGTTTTAAAAAGAGCTCTGGCTTCTTTGCTCTGGTGTTCCTACGTGTGGATGTAGCTGGTACCCCGTTTCTACAAGAGCTTTCCAAATTCTTTTTAAGTCATGGCTGTGAGAATATTGTGATCGTTTGCTGTTAATTCAAACTATAAAGAATTTTAGAGCGTAACATTCCCAAGTTGTTCTTAAAGTTTGTGTTTTAAAAATACTTATTATTCATTGTTAAAGCTTGTTTTTGTTTTGTTGGGATGGTGGGGGAGGGTGGCCCTTGAAACAGGGTCTCTCTGTGTAGCCCTGGTTGTCCTAAAACTTTCTCTGTAGACCAGGCTGGCCTTGAACTCACAGAGATCTGCTTGACTCTGTCTCCTGAGTGCTGAGATGAATGGCACCTGTAACTAGACCCGGCTGGGGTTTTGTCTCCTTGAGACAGTGTCCTGTGTCTCGAGATGACCTCAGATTGATCCTCCTACCTCAGGTGACTTGCAGTCTTGGACAGGAATAAATGTGCATCCAGTTTATAAGTCTGTAAGGTTGCTTGTTTTGTGTTTTACGATACAGAGTTTCTCTGTGTAGCCTGGCTGTCCTGCAATTTACTTGGTTGACCAAGCTGGCCTCGAACTTAGAGATCTACCTGCCTCTATCTCCCAAGTGCTAGGACTAAAGGTGTGCACCACCATGCCCGGCTTCTGTGAGGTTTTTTTTGTTTTGTTTTGTTTTGGTTTGGTTTTTTTGTTGGTTTTTTTTTTTCATAAAAAAAAACTCTTCAGGGGAAGTTCTGAAGCTAAACAATTTCCAGTTTGGGTCAAGGTATCTTTTTCTTTGGCTTCACAAGGTCTCTTTGTTGTGTAGCCCTGGCTGACCTGGAACTCACAGATCTTCCTGCCTGTCTCCCAAACGTTGGGATCATTCACCCTGCCTGGATGAATCCTCTGCTTTTTGTTTTGTTTTGATTTTATGCCCTTGAAACTTGGCCTTACATAACCCAGGCTGGTTTCCACTCGCTAAGTAGCCACAGATGGATTCGAACTCCTGACCCTCCTATCCCCACCTCCCAGGTGCTGGTCCTTGGATGTACGGCAATTTCCTGACTCTTACAGTGAGTTTAAAAATAGGGCTACACTGAGAGGGTTGAGGTGGGAGACAGATGCTGTGAAGCAGTGTCAAGTCTCAGGGGAAGGCCCGTGGCAGCCACAGGAACGGGCTCGAGCAGTAGGCTGGTACACTGCAGGCGTGAAGAAACCTTCCAGGCAGGCCGGGAAGTTGATGTCTTCTGAATAGGACAGAGACAAGATTAGAAATATGGGAGTTCTGGGAGTTTCTCAGTGGTTCCCAGCCCTTGTTCTCGTCTCCCACAGGCCCTACGTTTTCAACTACTCAAACCGCATCTAAGTAGTTATTAATTTAATAGCGCTCAAAGACACATAAGGCTGCCAATTCGAACTTAAAGGATGTTATTAAATGTGAACAAATGTGCTTTGTTCACAAAAGCACAAAGCAGAAGAAAATGAACGTCTGTGTAGCCAGAGCAGACCATTTTATCAAGGATGCTTAATGATGGCTGGCTCAAGCCCTTGGCTTCCTTATCTTTGTAACGTTCTTGCCTCGTGAAGGTCCTCTTGGACCCAGGGTCGATGACCACGGATCCAGATAAAAAGTAGCATGGGGTAAGTCATGAGAAGGACAGGAGAGAGGAAGGAAGCCCCAGGTAAGAAGATAGCAGAGTTTAAATGACTCAGAACCTCAATAAACAAAAGTGCTGAGTGCTATGGAGGAGTCACTAGCCCAGATAACTGTTCCCACTGGATAGGACTTCATGGAGAACAATGAGCCTGTGCTGCCCTGACCACGTGCCTGGCACATGACGCGTGTTGTGTCCATTCATTCATTTTACCCTATGAACTGTGGTTACTATTATCCTCATTACAGAAGGATAAAGAAGCATAGAGACATAAATGGTAGAGCCAAGCTGCGGGCCCTTGGTGTCTGACTCCAGAGCTCTCTCTCCTCTCATGGAAGGAAAGGGAAGGACTTGAGAGACTAGGATTGGCTGGCTCACTCTGGGTATCCCAAGTTACGGTCATTATAGATGTGCCAGATGCATTGTGATTTGCCTGGATCCCGGCTCTTTCCTAGGGTACCCATTTCCTCTGTTAGGTCTGCATTAATCTAGATAGGTTCACTCTGCTTGATGGAAAGGCCCACCGGTTCCAGATGAATGAATGAAACGAGGTTGCTCGCTCCAACAGTGAGTCCCTGTTGGAGAGCATCATCGTCAGGTGCAATGCGAAGAGCTCATTCAGTCTCCCGCATCATCAGACAGGAATTGAAAACCAGGTGTTAACGAGCGTGTGGCTTAATTGGCTAAGTGCCGACCATGCACAATAACCTAGGTTTCATCCTGAACCACAAAAAAATAAGTGTGTTGGCACATGCCTGTAATGCACAGTTTGCGAGAAGAGATTGGGTATGGTTGTAGGACCCTCACCCCTTATTTTAAAAGGAGCGAGAAGAAATTTCCTAGCAGAATGTTTTCCCAGGAAGATAGTGGCCTTCCCCTCTCCCACCCGGGAGATTCCAAGCACAAGGTCACTTAGCTCAGCCCAGCCAGCCACCTGGTACAGGCTGATAATGATAGCCTAACTCAGGAACAGTGGCCTTGCTCTAAGAACAAGGAAAAAGCTGACTTAGCAGAATGGGAGAGAGCAAAAGTCCTTGTACCCATGCCAAAGCAGCTTCAAAGATTCTCTTTATAATTATGCCTTTAAAAGCAAACCCCACAGAAGAGATACAATTCCTCTCTACCTTGTTGTAATAGGGATGGAGATGAGTTCCAAACATGTTTGTATTATGCTGATTAAACCTTGCTTATTACAGTCTGGGCCTCTCTGGTGGTCTCTCTCTGGGGGTCGTAATCTGGGCACAACATGGTGACACACCAGTGATCCCAGAGAGACGGGAAGAACAGGAGTTTAAGGTCACCCTCGGCTGCACAGTGAATTGGAGGCCAGCAGGGCTTACAAAAAACAAACAAACAAAAAAAAAAAAAAAAAACCACAAAAAGCAAAGGATCCGAAGCTTGATGCCAAGCCTGACAACCAGAGTTTGATTCCCGAAGTCCAAATGGGGAAAGGAATGAACAGATTCTCAAAGTTGCCCTCTGACCTCTGTACATGTATTGTGGTATATATACCTAGACACATCCACAATAAATAACTGTTAAAAAAGAGACCAAAAAAAATTAAATTTAGACTATCAGAAGATACATAGGTTAATTGGATGATAGTTAATATTCTTTTTTTTTCCTTTCAAGTCAAGGTTTCTCTGTATAGCTTTGGAGTCTGGCCTGGCACTTGCTCTGTAGACCAGGCTGGCCTTGAACTCACAGAGATGCGCCTGCCTCTTCCTCCTGAGTGCTGGGATTAAAAGTGTGTGCCACCACCACCCAGCTAGTTAATGTGATTCACTCAACCCTTAAGTGCTGGGTTTTGTTGGGATTCCCCATAAGATATGGAGAAGAGAAGGCCTTCCTTCTGACTATCTCCAGTTTAAGTAATAGCAATTTCTCATGTGTTTGAGGCCCCAGAATGAAGTTGCAGCTCTGGTCCTGAGTCTGCTGGGTTTTACCTTTACTTCTATTCTTGAGATCTGGAGTTTCCCCAACTTTACGTAGCTGAAAGAGAAGGACTCCCAGAAGGTGTTTTCCTAGGTCTACCCTCTCTCTGCTCTAAAGTCTCCCCACCAATGTAATTCACCTCTAAATTTTTACATTCTCTTCTACTTGCTCTGTTCTATGTTGTAAGCGTATTTTACAGTAGTAACCTGGGATTGAACTTTGGCCTGGGAGTTTGGTCATTAATTGACATTCCTTGAAGAAAGAGAATGGCACTGTGTTTTCCAGACCTTCCAGCAGCTCGATGGCCTTCCCTAAGAAGAAACTCCGGGGTCTTGTTGCTGCCACCCTCACCCCAATGACCGAGAATGGGTAACTATCACGGGGGGCAGGGAAGGGCAGGGGCACAGTGGGTCCTGTTCCCATTCACTGAAAAGGTCAGAAGCTCCAGGAATCGCTGCACCTCTGGGGTGGTCTGCACATGTAAACGTGTGCCCATATACATGTATACTCAAAAACACATTCACTCCACATTACACACATCCATCAACACACACACACACACACACACAAACATACCACAAAGAAACCAAAGCATGCTCATACACGTTTTCTTAGTTAGAATATTGCTGTGATGAAACCATGACCAAAAGCAAGTTGAGGAGGAAAGGGTTCATTTGCTTACACTACATATCGCCTGTCACCATCAAAGGCAGTCAGGCAGGCAGGAACTCAAACAGGAGAGGAGCTGATGCAGAGGTCATGGAGGGGTACTGTTTACTGACTTTATTCCCCCTGGCCTGCTCAGCCTTTCTTATAGCACCCCCAGAACCACTTGCCCAGGGATGTCACCACCCACAGTGGACTGATTCTCCCCACAGCAATCAGTAATTATGGTTTTGATTTTTTAGTTTTGTTAGGTTTTTGAGACAGGGCTTCTCTGGGTAACTTCTGCTGTCCTAGAACTTGCTCTGTAGACCAGGCTGACCTCAAATTTATAGAGATTCCCTGCTCTACCTCCCGAGTGCTGGGGTCAAAGGTGCCCACCACCACCACCACCCAGCTTGGTTTTGTTTGTTTTTTTGTTTGTTTGTTTTTTTCTTAAGACAAGAGTCTCCCAACATAGCCTTAGCTGTCCTGGAACTCACTATGTAGACCAGGGTGACCTCTACCTCTGCTTCCCAAGTGCTGGGATTAAAGGCCCAGCTTTGTTCTAGGCAATCTTGTGGAGACTTTTTTTTTAAGTCCTTATTCCTAAATAGCTCTAGCTTGTGTCAAGTTGGTATACATCTAGAACCAATGCTTTGGAAGGACCCTGTGCTACGGAAAGGGGGAGGCCTCAACAAGGTGGACTCATCGGGCTTCTTTTCAGTCTCATTTAAAAACTGATTAAATGTTGGAAGGTGGGGGCAGAGGAAGGAGAGAAGACAGCAGAGGTAAGAGCTGGTGATTGCTGACTTTTCTCAACAATTTCTCAGGCAGGTGCCTTGACTTCCAGGTGAAGAGTGGGGCAGCCTCTTAGCCTGCATGGTCAGATAATGGCCCTACCCCATACATAACCATGCACCATACATAGCCATGCACCATACATGACCATGCCCCACCATACATAACCATGCACCATACATGACTATGCACCATACATGACCATGCACTTATATATGTCCATGCATCATACATGACCATGCACCATACATGACTATGTATGCTCCTCCTTGGACACTTGACACAAGGGGAGCAGCCACTTCCTCGTGCTGAATGCTATTGACCCATCAGAGATGAATTTGCCACCTTTAAGCTTCCTCCTCTTGTAAGAAAAGAAACTTACCCCATACCTAAGTGCAGAATGATAAGGGATTAAGTAAAATAATCCTTAGAACAATGCTTGGTTTCTGCACTTAGGGCAACAGCTTAAGCTGTTACTGTGGCAAGAGACAAGGATAAGAAGAAGATGGGCCAACTTGTACTCCTCTTAAAAGGCCGTTTTGGGGGGAGTTCTGTTCCTGAATTTGTAAACCTTTTTAGAACTTTGAATTCACATTCAAGGTGGCCGCGTCACATATTCCTTAGCTATTTGGAGCCCAAGACTCTATGAAAAACTCCTATCCTTCCTGGAACTTAACTTGCTGACATATTATTTAGATCACTCTGTTGGCTAATAGTCTTTTTTCCCCCTGTTACTTCTCCTTTTCCACAACTTCTGGGAAAGACTGAAGTCAGCTGTTTTTCAGTTTCAGCTACTGGTTGGGTAGATAAGCAGGAGCCATGTGACTACATGAGCAGGCTGGATTTGCTTCCGGCTACAGAGTCAGATCCTGTCTGAAACATAGCTCAGCACATTCCCTCTTGTCCTTGCTGTGTTAACCTCTGAGATGGCTTCGCCAAGCAGCCTTTTCATCTGGGACACGCTGAGAGCAGTTGTGTGTCCTTCCCTACTCTGCTGTTACCTGGAATCACAGACCCAAAGTATTAGAGGTGACTAACAGGTCTCTAAAATCTAGGTGTGGTTGTACACACCTGCAAACTCACCACTTGGGAGGGAGAGGCAAAAGAATTTGTTGGAGGCAACTAAATTAACTCCTCGGTGAGTGCAGGGGCAGCCTGAGCTATGTTAACTCCTCGGTGAGTGCAGGGGCAGCCTGAGCTATGTTAACGCCTTTTTCTCTCATCACTTGTCCCATCAAAATACTCTTAGACTGAAGAGATGGCTCAGTGGTACAGACACTGCCTGCTGTTCCAAAGGATCTGGGTTCAAGTTCCAGCACCCACATAGTAGCTTACAGTCATCTATTCAGGCATCCGATGCCCTGTTCTGGCCTTTGAGGGCATCAGGCATGCACATGGTGCACTGACTTACGTTCAGGCAAAACACCTGTACACATTAAATAAACAAACCTAAAAGAAAATTAAAACAAACAAAGCCACTCCTGTATACACAGAGTGCTTTAGAACACCCAAGAACAAGTGGACATTAACCTGTTTAGCCACAGTAAAAGCTGGCCTTCTGACATTGTTTCCAAAACACTGGATGGCAAGAAAAGGCACATGGCATGCAGTACGTTTGCCCAGGTGATATGGCATTGTGGCAGTGTTTCTAACCTGGCTTGCAACAGAAAACCACAGCTCCCTAATGCCAAGTAACTGAATACAAACTATTGCATGCGCACACACACACATATACATACACATATGAATACCCTTGGCTGTCCTGGAACTTGATTTTTGGATCAGGCTATCCTTGAACTCACAGAGATCCACCTGCCTCTGCCTCCCCAGTGCTGGGATTAAAGGTGTGCAAAACCATGCCCAACCTTTTTTCCTTCTTAATCTCATAAATGCTAAAAATTTGGCTCTTATATAAGATGATATCCTAAAATAGGGAAATTGGAAAGGAAAAAAAAAACTACGTAAACGAGTTTTCTTTAAAGTATCTGCCAGCGCCAGTGGTGGTGCACGCCTTTAAACCCAGCACTCAGGAGGCAGAGGCAGGTAGCTCCCTGAGTTCCAGGACAGCCTGGGCTACAGAACAAGTTCCAGGACAGCCAGGGCTACACAAGAAAACCCTGCCTCCCCCCCTCCAAGTATCTTCCAGGTTTACATCAAGGAGCTACCTTGCCTTTGAGAGTTGTCACTCGGTCCTCGAGAGATGACTGAGTGATTCAGAGAACTTGCAGTCCTTGTAAAGGGCCCAGCACCACATGTTGACATTCAAGGGTCCTTTACTCCTAATTCCAGTTCCATTGTGCTCTCTTCTGGACTTCTCAGCGACTAGGTGCCCACGTAGTATACAAACATACATCCAACAAAACATTCACACGCTGAAAAAAATAATAAATAAGCCTTAAAAAAAAAAAACTGTTCTTGGGCCAGCAAAATGGCCCAGTGGGTCAAGAGCTTAAATCCCCAGGACCCACATGAAAAACAGACATGGTAGCCCTTGTCTGTAATCCCCAAACAGTAGACAAACCCAGAGGGATCCTGGGAAGTTCTGGTGCTATCTAGCCTGGATTACACAGCAACAAACAGAAGACCCTGCCTCAACCAAGGTGCAAAGTGAGGACTGCTAGCTGAGGCTCTCCTCCGACCTGCACATGCTCTCTCACACATGAACATGCCCAAGCACAAGGACACACACAAAGATAAAGCAAGCTGTCCTTCATGTCCTGCAAAGGAAGACTTCAGCCCTAAAGCGCTCTGGTGCTTGAGTGTCTACAGTCCTCTGCTCTGACGCCATTAGCGACTCTGTGGGCTTCACAATTCAGTAAGACTTCAAAGTTCTAGCCACATCAGTCCATCTCCACCCAGCAGCCTAGTGAGCATCCTTGTAAGTAAATCTGACAAATCATTCTTCTCTGCTGGAGTCGGTTGTCTCTCCTCTTCCAAAGCCTTACTTCTCGCTGTATGGTCCTTGGACCAGTTATTCCAGTACCACACAGGAACCTGATAGGATCGCAGGCCTCGGCCCTGCCACATCCCGCTAGTCAGAACCTGCCTTCGAACAGTGGTTCGCTAGAGCCTGAGATGACCTAGCCTGAAGAGGAAAAGCCAGACTCCCAGAGACACAGGAGTCCTGCACAATCTGCCTTCGTTTCTGGCTTCGTTTGTTTCCCCAAACAGCATCACATCCTCTCTTTCTCCCCAGGCTCCGTACCTTGTCTCATTCTGTTTTCTCGACTTTTCCCACTGCCACTTTCTCCTTAAAATGTCAGCTTACCCGTCCAAACGTTTGCAGGAGTGAAAGGGAGTTTCTTTTTCTCCCCCCACCCCTCTGAAGAGTTCATCTTCCCCTTTACTGAAGCACACTGACAATAGATGGGTGAAGAGCATACAACACTCATTCGCCAGGCTGGGGAATGACAACCATACCAAACACAACACTAAAAGAGACATCAGTTAGGTTTAAGCATCCTCTTTAGTGTGGGATGGGGGAAGGACTGCAGGCTTTTTTAGAGGAAAATACCTAAGCCCAGAGTAGACAGTAGTTTATAAATGGTTCTCCAGGAAGATTGTCTTGGCATGGTGACATTCCTAGTCTCTGCAGGTGATTACCATCTAGGTAAGGTTTCAGGAGGCCATAGGACAGCAATAGTTCCTCTGGGGAGATGTCCAGTAAAAGAATTTCCAAGAGTGATCCACCCTGCACCCAGGAGAAGCAGCAGCAGGTCAGAAAGTCCCTGATTCTCAGGGGGTTTGTTTTGCTTTGTTTTTGTTTATTGAGATAGGGTTTCTCTGTAGCGTTGGAGCCTGCCCTGGAACTCACTCTATAGACCAGGCTGGCCTCGAACTCCTCTGCCTCTGCCTCCTGAGTGCTAGGATTAAAAGCGTGCACCACCACCGCCCAGATGATCGTGAGGACTTTTAACTCTTTAGTTCAAAGCATCATAAGCTGGGATATCATTTCTCAAGCCCCAACCCATCCTTGGCAATTTTTCCCATTTCTTCTTTAAAAAAGAGGAAAAAAAAGGTAGAGGCTCCCTCCTGTGTGACCCCCGTGGTATTTATTCTGTGTATACCTTTTTTATATTGCCTCAAATTTATCTGTTTTATGCTGACGTTTATCTTTTTTATGACTTTATTTTCTATCTGTATGGGGGCTCACGTGCCGCAGCACACACATGAAGGTCAGAAGACACTTGTGGCAGCCAGTTCTTCCCTCCCGCCGTGTAGACCCCAGGGACTGAACTCGGGCTGTCAGGCCTGGCCTCAAGTGCCATTACCCACTGAGCCATCTTGCAGCCCACGATAACATTTTGATTATTTTGTGCCTGTATTTTTCCAGCAGGTTTTGAGCTGTTCTAACTTAGGGTGGGCATCGTGCAAGGACCAAACGTGTGTCTTATTTATCTTTATACGTTCCGCATCTAACAGAGTCGACTTGCCATTTCATCAGGGAACGTACCACAGGGATGACTAATGTGACTGTCAGAGAAAGGAAGCCAGCATTTGACTGAACGAGCATGCGTGTCAGTCATCATGATGGGCATTTTATCCCTGCAGTCCAGTTTCACCTGACACCTCCACCGGGGACCCGGGACCTGCAGCTCTATTTCATAGCTGAAGAAATTGTATTTGGGTACTCTAAGGTGTACCTGTGGTCCTAGCCCTTAGGAGGCTCAGACAAGTTCATTTCTAACTGTACAATGCAGTAAACTGGGGGGCGGGGGGAGGCCAAAATGTCAAGAAAAAGTTGCATTTTCTCTGCCAGATGCCAGAGCTTCACTGTGGCGAGTGTCTTTTCCTGCTGCGCCACCTTACAGGCCCTGGGTCCGTTGGTGACTGAACTACTGGATGTCTCGTTCAAGAGTCACAAACTTAACAGCCTACAGCAAGTGTCAGGCAGGGATCGGAAGCTCTGAGGTAGGTAGCTGGCAGGACATGGGGTCTTTAACAGCGCAGGTGCTGGCCTTCCTGCTCTGAGAAATTAACTTTAGCCAGATGTGGCGCCCCACGCCTTTAATCTTAACACAGTAGGGGAACAGTCTCCATACTGAGTTCCAGGACAGCCAGGGGGCTATGTAGAGAGACTTTGTCTAGGATAGTCAGGGCTACATAGTGAGACCCTGTCTCCAAAAACGGGGAAAAAAAAAAAAAAGCCTTGTTATATATGTGGCTTTTCAATCGTTTGTGGACACACATGATCACGTGTGTGTGCGTGTAGAAGGCAGAAAAAACTCAAAATATTGTTCCTCACATGCCATCTGCCTTATTTTTTGAAACAGTCAGTAGCCTGGAACTCCCCAAGTAGGCTAGGCTAGCTGGCCTGTGAGCCTCCAGGATCTGCTGCCTGCCAGGAAATATTTTTTGGTATATTTTTACCTGAGTTCTATGCACTAGGCTCAGGCCCTTGTGCTTGCAGGGCAATTGTGTCACCAAAGTCCCCAGCCCCAAAGTCTTTTCCTACGTGAAAGAAATTTTAACATGTGAAAGTCAGATAGACGTTGTTCTAAAGTTTGCCCCTTTCAGCCTGTGCCATAGTTCCAAAGGGGCACAGGCGGAGAATCTTTTCTAGATGATTCTTCCATTGCCCTAGAAATTCCAGCATTAACGCCATTCCTAAAGGCGTTTCTTGAAAGAATAGATAATACAACTCCTATGAGCCTGAGTAGAATTGACACCCAGCGCAGCCTGAAGGAGTGTGACAGGGAAGAGGGAGAGCATGGGTGGAAACCCTTTCCCCTGAGGTCAAACATAATAAAATAGAATAAATAAAAAACAAACAAGCAAAAAAAAAAAAAAAAACAAAACTACATGTGAAGTTCACTGAGGAAGGAGAAAAAGCTTGGGTTTCACCTTTCTACATCTGACTGAGGGTACTGCCAGCTCCCTAGAAAGAGGTGCATGCCCAGACCGACCCAGACAGGTGGCAGCTCCCAGAAGAGTGGGAGGAACTGAGAAGGCAGGTTCTCCCCAGACATCCCACCCCATGACTTCTTCCCAACCTCCCTTAATTCTTAACTTGGTCATAGCTTTCGGGTTTTGGTTAATTATATACACAGCCTCCTAATGTAATGGCGAAGTTACAGAATTTCGCAGGCCTGAAAGCAGAGTGGCCGAGAGAACCCACCCTCGTCAGCGTGTGTTTATGTGGCACGGAGCACTGGGGCAGAGAGCGGGCAGCGCTACTGTGTTGGGGCCCAAACCACGGTAGAAAAAGCCTTCCCCTCATGGCCTTAAAACGCCCCCTAAGCACCCCCTTTCCAAGCTGTGGGCCCCGCTCTGTCTTCCCTCGCCCGGAAGGCAGTCGCTGTGTCTGCAGTCTTTGCTTTCAGTATCTTTTCCTTTCAAACTCAAAATCTGCCGAATTTTCTTTTCTCTCTTTGTTTCTAGTCCCTTGGCTGAAATACCCTTTGATGTCTGTTATCTAGGTGCACCAGATTTTTTTTTTATTGTTGTTTAAGGAATAGAATAAGTAAAGATGAAAAGAATGGTAATAAGGCTAAGCACAAATTAGGCAGCTCCAGTCCTTCTACACAAAAGCGTAAATGACAGCCTGCTAGTTCTCTGTGTTCTTGGCAGTGTAACAACCATGGTTCTGCAACAGTAAACCGAGACTCGCCACGCAGTTTCCCTTTGAATTTTTACTCTCAGTCATCCATCCTTCCCACATTAATTTTTCTTTTCTTTTTTTGTTTTGTTTTGGTTTGGTTTTAATTTTAATGAGTTAACTTTTACAATTTATTTATTATTATTTTATGTGCATTGATGTTTTGCCTGCAGGTATGTCCATGCAAAGGAACCAGATCCCCTAGAATGAAGTTCCAGACAGTTGCGAGCTTCCATGTGGGTGCTAGGAATTGAACCCAAGCCCTCTGGAAGAGCAGTCAGTGCTCTTAACCTCTAAACCATCTCTCCAGCCCCTTGATTTTTTTGTTTGTTTGTTTGTTTATGTGTTTTTGTTTTGTTTTGTTTGAGATTGTGTCTCTCTGTGTAGCTTTTACTGTCTTGGAACTCACTCTGTAAACTAGGCTGACCTCAAACCCAAAGATTCGCCTGCCTCTACTTCCCAAGTGCTGGGTTTAAAGGTATCCACCGCCATTGCCCTGTACCACCTAATTTTTCATAGTGGTAGGCCATTTAATGCAGTTTTGGAGCCCACTTACCAATATTTGAATTGATATGACTTTAAAGGGAAACACCCTTCACCTTCAGCATCAGATCTTCACGAGATCATTTTGCTTTAGACTGAACAGTGCAGACAGAGCACGTGGGAGTTCACTAAAGTGCCAGCCAGTTGTTGGAGACCAGGCCTGCAATGTCAGGACTTTAGAAACTGAGACAGGAATATCAGGAGTTCAAGGCCAGCTGCAGCTACACAGGGAAAGGCCAGCCTGATCTACATGAGACCGTCCAGGTAGACATAGTAGATTCACATCTTACTGAGAAAGCTCAGCTAAGACATGAAAAAGTGAAGACAGAGAATATGAGCGTTATTTCCAAAACCATGCTCTCCCCAGCAAAGGAAGCATGAGTATTTGATTTAGGGAGTCTAGACAGATTCAGCCCTGGGATCAAGTTAAAAGGTCACTCCTGAGCATTCTCAGTTGAAAGTCATACTTAAAAAAAAAAAAAAAAAGATTTGTTTATTTCTAGTTTATGTGTTCAGGTGTTTTGCCTGTATGTTTGTATGTACATCACATGCATGGCTGTTGCCCTAGGAGCAGGGTACCAGGTCCTCTGGAACTAGAGTTTTGATGATTGTAAGCCACCAAGTGGGTGCTGGAATCAAACCTGGGTCTTCTGCAAAAGCACCAAGTGTTCTTACGCACTGAACCATCTCTCTAGTCCCAGGTCATAATTTTAAAAGAAAAGATGGGAGAACCATTTGGAGGCACGCTTAGCTCAGAGTCACAGGGCACTTATGAAAGGATTAAAGTGGCAGAAGCGCCTCTGGGATGCTTGCCTTGCACCAGAAGATTTCTCCTGAAAATAAAGGGAGGGGTACTAGGCTGCTGAGATGGCTCGGTGGGTAAAGGTGTTTGTGACATCCCCAAACCTGATGATTTGGTTCAATCCCTGGGACCCACATGATGAACAGAAAGAATAACTCCCCAAAAGTTGTCCTGTGACCTCTACACACATGTTGTTTGTCTGTCTGTCTGTCTGTCTGTCTCTCTCTCTCTCTCTCTCTCTCTCTCACACACACACACACACTTGTATGTATACATCATCATCATCACTACCACTAGTTAGTGTCTGGTACACGCTAGGCAAGCTATTTACTGAGCTATGTACACAACCCCAGAGTAGATGTTTAATAATTGTTAATATGAACAGTTCTCGAGCTGTGAACTGGTTGAATAATCACCTAAGATAGACTAACTATGCATTCTTACTTATTTTCCCTGTCTTTCAGAGAAATCAACTTTCCTGTAATTGGTCAGTATGTGGATTACCTTGTTAAAGAACAGGGTGTGAAGAACATTTTTGGTAAGTCACCTCGTGAATTCTCTGTATGTATTTAGCTCAAGCCTTAGCTAGTAGTAGACCTCACCTCTGGGCATGTGTCAGGGTTATAGTGGAACCTGCTGGGATAACTAAACATTCTGAGTGTATAGACTCAATAATACTAGGTCTGCAGATTCCTTGGGAGTAGCTCATTTGTCAGTGTGCAACAAACATATTGTTTTTATCCCCACTTAGAGACAAAACTCTCTAGCATAGAGATTCTTGAGATAGTGAAACCAAAAGGCAGTAGAATAACAGCAAAACCTGCTTAAGTGATACTGTAGCCCAGCATGCCTTTAGTACCAGCACTTGGGAGGTAGAGGTGAGGATCTCTGATTTCAGGGCCAGCCTGGTCTACAAAGCAAGTTCCAGGACTGCCAGGGCTACACAGAGAAACCCTGTCGGAAGACCTGGAGAGGTGATTCCGTGGTTAAGACTCTTGCCCTTTTTGCAAAGGACCTGGTTTGATTCCCAGCGCCCGCATCAGTACACGTCACAGCTGGCCTCCGCATTATTTCTGATAAGATAAAGGTAGAGAAAAAGCCCAAGAGGCTAGAGAGCACTGGCTGCTCTTCCAGAGGTCCTGAGTTCAGTCCCTGGTAGCCACATGGTGGTTCACGCCCATCTATAATGAGATCTGGTGCCCTCTTCTGGCCTTCAGGCATGCATGCAAGACCAAGTCTGAGGTAAAAATGGCCAAGTGGCACTTTCTGCTCCGGGCACCATCCTCTGTTTATTCGATGTGCCATTTCCTCTCAAGCAGGGGTTTGATACCCTCCACCTCCAGACTTTGGGTTGAAGGAACAAAAGGCACTGACTGGTCCCACTGACTGACCTCTTTGTTTGGAACAGTGAATGGCACCACGGGAGAAGGCCTGTCCCTGAGTGTCTCTGAGCGTCGCCAAGTGGCAGCAGAATGGGTGACACAAGGGAGGAACAAGTGAGTAACTGTGCTGGGATGAGATGGAGTTCATGGGCAAGGTCTAGACAGAGCAAGGCTTTTCCCGCTGTGCAAGCCCTGCCACCTCCCCGTCAGCTGCAGGGCAAGATCGGGGGACTCTGAGCCTCCCACACTTGGCAAGAAGTGGCCTTCGCTTCAATGTTGAAGGGTAGGCAGACCACAGAGCACACCTGCCTGCTTCCAGGAACTGTCTCTCATCCACCTAGAAGGGAAGTCTTCTCAGGGACTTGCTACCGTATATATCATCCCTGTCATAGTCAAGGTTTCTGCGGCTGTGATGGAACCCATGGCCATAAGCAGCTTGGAGGGAAAGGGGTTATTTGGTTTATGCTTCCGCATCATAGTCCATCCCTGAGGGAAGGCAGGGTGGTTGCTCTAACATAGCAGGATCCTGGAGGCAGGAGCTGATGCAGAGACCGTGGAGGGGTGCTGCTTACAGGCTTGCTCCTCCTGCCTTCCTCAGTGGCTTTTTCTATGCACAATCTCTTTAAGAGCTGAGCCCTCCCACATCTACTGTAGAGACTTGCCTACCAGGGCACTCTATGGAGGGATTTTCTCGCTAAGATTCCTTTTCCTAGATGACCCTATTTTGCCAAATTGACATAAAACTAGCCAGCACACCCGCTGCTTCACACCAGGGCCCTGGAGCAAAGTCTTTGTCCTCAGTCTGCTTTCCTTCCAATGGGGACTCAGGTTGTGAAACCCAATACTCTCCGCCCTCCCCCCCTCCTCCCGTTCTGATTAAGTGTAAACTGAGACAAAGAAGTGATTGGTAGTGTTTAGATAGAGGCAAAATATTGGAGGTTAGCAGAAACTGCTGAGCAAACACCCTCCTCCTCCTCCATAGCTAAGTGGGGTAGAGAGCAGGAAGATGGTGTCTGCCCAGGAACCTTCATCGCTGTGTTGGAATGCTAGCACATCCCAGCAGAGGGATTTGCTGGGTGGACTTTTTCTTATTACTATTTTCGCTTATTTTTATTTATTTGTCTATTTGGGGTGGTTTGTTTATTTTTTACACAGTTGAGTTTGCAGGTGAATCACCTGCCCAGTTCCTTTATTTTAATTATTATTATTATTGTGTGTGTGAAGTGTGGGGACAACATGTCATGATCGGAGGACAGCTTGGGGAGTCCATGTTCTCCTCCCACCATGTGGGTCCTGGGGATAGAACTCTGACCCTTTTGCTTGACAGCAAGCACCCTTACCCATGAGTTGTCTCTCCAGGCTCTCTCTCTCTCTCTCTCTCTCTCTCTCTCTCTCTCTCTCTCTCACACACACACACACACACACACACATACATGCCTCATTATGTAACCAAAGATGCACTGAACTTTTGATCCTCCTGGGTACACAGTGCACCAGGAAACTGGAGTGTTCTGCTATTTTATTTTTGCTTTTTGAGACGGGGTCTCTCTACAGTGCCCTGTCTGTCCTGGGACTCACTCTATAGACTAGGCGGGACTTGAACTCACAGAGAGGCCCCCTGCCTCTGCCTCCCGAGTTCTGAGATTAAAAGTGGCCACCATTCTTGGTTTCTAAGGGGTGCTCTCGTCTAACTGGCTAATGTCCTACTGGCTAACGTCAAAGACATTCCTCCGCCTCCCTCAGTTCTGCTCTTATATCCTCGTGGTTCATCGTTATCCGTCTTTATGAGAGGCTGTCTCTGTGACAGGTAGCTGAGGTTCCCTGTTTGTTGGGCGAGAGGAAGTCCCTCCCTCCTGTCTCAGCTTCAGGAAGCTGAAGTCAGCCTACACTCTTCCCACAGAAAATTGTTATTTTCTCTGTAGTTTGCCTTTTTCTCCCCTTCACTTCTTTTTAAAAATGTTTTTATTATAAAGTCATTCATTTTATGAGTGTTTGACCTATATCTACGTATGTGTGATTGGTGCCCACAGAGGTCAGAGGAGGCATTGGATCACTTGGTTCTGAGGTTACAGATGGTTTCAGTTGCTGGGAATCAAAGTTGTTTTTTTTTAACCTCTTTTCAGTTAAAACAATTTCCCTCTGTTGACTTGAGACAAGTTCTCATACAATTCTGGCTGTCCTCCCTTTGCAGCTAACGCTAACCTTGAACTCCTGATCCTCCTGCCTCCACCTCCCAAATGTGGGAATTCAAAGCAGGAGCCACAAACCTGGCCTTCAGTTCTCTCTTTCTCCAATACCCACTCCCCATTTGTTTTTTCAGACAAAGGCTCACTGTGCACCCCTGCTGGCTTTGGCTCAGCCTCCTGAGTGCTGAGATCGCAGCCATGAGCCACCACATTGGTGTGACACACACACGCACAAACACACACACAGACACACACGCACGCGCGCACACACAGGATTATTGAATGTCTCTTGGCCACCATGTGTGTGCTGAGAATCAAACCTGGCTCCTCTGAAAGAGCTGCCAAGTGCTTTTAAATGCTGACCCATCTCTCTAGCCCTAAAATAACTTTCTTGTGGGGTCAGTTTATTTGCTAAATGAGCACAGAGAAATGTCTTCATGCTCTTTTTAAAACTGCACTGCCAGGGTTTGAATCCAGAGCTGCTTCCTGCACGTTAGGCCAGCGCCACGCCCCGGACTCTAGCTCAGATATCTCTGGCCCTTTTGTGTTTTTCATTTTGAGTCAGGGTCTCCATAAATTCCCAAGGTTTTCTTGAACTTGTGATCCTTCTGTGGTTGTTGGGAATTGATTATAGACCTGGTGCCACTGGGGTCTATTTTTATTTATTCTTTTCTACTTTTTAGTTTTTAAATAATTTTTTTTAATTCTTTGAGAGTCTTACATAATGTATTTTTAATTTTGTTATGTTTTGAAGACAAGGTTTTAGTAAGTTCCCCAGGTTGGCCTTGAATTTGAAAGCTGCCTCAGCTTTCTAACTATCAGAAATCATGAACCTGTGCCACTAGGCCCTGTTTTTATTTATTCTTGCCTAGTATTGGGGTTTGGAGTTTTTGTTGTTTAGTTTTTTGTTTTGATTTTTTTATTATACTGTGTGATTATATATATATATATATATATATATGTACGTATGCACACACACATACATGTACATAAACTCCTGTGCCATGGTATGTGACTAGAGATCAAAGGACAACTTTCGGGAATGGGTTCTCTTGTTACATGTTGTGGGTCCCAAGAACCATGATAGAATTGATTCAACTGTTGTATTAGTCTTAAGGCTATTAAGCCAGCACAAACAGGATGGTGCAGCCGTTCTGTGTTCTTCTAAACTCCAGGTGGTTCACACTGCTACTCTCTTGCAGGTTGGACCAGGTGGTAATTCATGTGGGAGCACTAAGCTTGAAGGAGTCACAAGAACTGGTATGGCTACTCAAAGGACTTGCATTTTTATGCTAGAATTAAAACCAGTCCTATATTTGGCTGGAAGAGATCAAGTGTGGGACCTCTGAAGCAGGCACGGGCCTTGGAAAGGCAGTAGTACAAAAGAAACGACCACTGGAAGACAAGAGACTAGGGAACTTCTCTCAAATAGAGCTGAGGTTGGCTGTAAATGCAGACCTTAAGCCAGCATCAGTCTTCTCTGGGAAATGAGAGGCATCGCCATCTGCTGGAGATAAAGGGAATAGGCAGTGGGACTTCCCTGGAGAATGGGTTTCTTTAGAGGTTCAAAACCAAAGCTGTAGCCTGTGGTGGTAGTGCATGCCTCTTCCCAGCACTCAGAGGGCAGAGGCGGGTGGATCTCTGTGAGTTCAAGACCAGCCTGGTCTACAGATCAAGTTCCAGGACACTCAGGGCTACACAAAGAAACCCTTTGAAAAACCCAAAAACAAACAAACAAAAAATAAAATAAATATAAAAAACAAAGTTGTAAGCCAGAAACATATCAGACCACTGTTCAGCAGAACTGTTAAAACTGTCTAGATACAGTCTTCAGCCAGGACATAGGATCAAGGATGCAGAGACTCAGGTCACTCTAGGCTTGGTGATTGAGCTAGTTTGCGCAAAAAGCTAGACAGGGGCCAGGCATGGTGGCACACACTTGTAATCCTAACTTTCCAGAGACTGAAGCTGGGGCATTGGGAGGTAGAAGCCAACCCGGGCCACACAAGACAAAACAAAGCAAAAGTAGATGGTGATGGTTCTGAGGCCTGGGCGAATTAATTAAGAAACAAAAGTACAAAGAGGCTTTAAACTGTTTATCAGAAGGCCCAGTCCCCGTACACCTGCACATTAACTGTGTCCCCAGGATACTCTAGTTCCATAATTACACAGTTTTTATCTAGCCCCGTTCTTCGTGAAATGTTTGTTTTCTTACTATTCAAATTTAATGGCAGTAAAATATTTGTAAATAACTAAAGAGATGCGTAGGGAAGTGGCTCAGTTGGTAAAGTATGTGCAGCAAGCTGGACAACCTGAATTTAGACCCTCGGGAACCACATGAAATGATGGGTGTGGCTACAGTGCCTATAACCCTAGCCTTAGGCTGGGTGGAGACAGCAGTTCTCTAAAACTCAATAGTCAGCCAGCCCAGCCCAATGGATGAGCTTTGGGTCCAGTGAGAGACTTTTAAAAAGTAATAAAGTTAAACCAGGTGGTGGTGCACACCTTTAATCCCAAAACTCGGGAGGCAGAGACAGGCAGATCTTTGTGAGTTTGAGGCCAGCCTGGTCTACAAGAGTGAGTTCCAGGACAGGCTCCAAAGCTAAAGAGAAATGCTGTCTTGAAAAACCAATAATAATAATAAAGGTTAATGAGGTAGTAGATGCCTTTAGTCACAGTACTTGAGGGGCAGAGACAAGTAGATCTCTGTGAATTCTAGACCAGACTGATCTACACAGTGAGATAAATTACACAGGCACACAGTAGTATACAGACATACATGTAGACAAAACACCTATATTCATAACATATTTTAAAAGTGTTAGAAATGCCCAAGGAGAAGAAACGTCCTTTATACTTTTCCCTGGGGGAATTCAAGAAGCTGTCAAAGCATAGTGCTATGTATCTTTTGTGATATATATAATCTTTTTCTTCTTAACCTTTCTCATCTGCATTCACAGTCTGTAATGTCAACTTGAAATATGACTGTTATACCATCCCATGGGAAAGATAATACCATTGAGTAGGCAGAGCAGTGGAAGAAAAATTATACAAGCAGGCTTCCCTGTTAACAGTTGTAAATGAGCTGCTCGTGTCTTAGCAAAGTGACTTTGGTGGCATGGTAGGATTTTGTTGTGTGTGTATCCTGACAGAAATCCAAGTAGCTATACATGGTGGCACGGGCCCATAATCCCTGCTTTTTCAGAAGGTGAGAAGATTAGCCTAGGGAGCGTAAGTGTGGAGGAATGTGAGTTCAAATCTGGTCTACGTGGGAGCTCCAGGCCGGCGAAGGCTACATAGTGAGACCCTGGCTCAAAAAACAAAAGCCAGCAGCATAGAATCTGGGTGATCAGAAAGATGATTCAGAGATTAAGAACACTGCCTTCCAGAGAACCCCGGTTTGATTCCCAGCACCCACATGGCGGCTTACCACTGTCTGTAACCCCAACTCTAGGGGACCTGACACCTCTTCTGGTCTCTGTGGATGCCTGTGTACACACATGAACACACACAAAATAAGTCTTATAAAAAGTCAGTGAGTGGGAATAAATCAAGAGGAGGCAGTGAGATGGCCTAGTGACAGGTATGCAAACATGAAATTAAGCACTCGGCTTACCTACACCAGGTGTCTCTCCAGCAACCTGGGACATTCCTGGGATGACGTTTTAATTCAGCAGTTCTCAACCTGTGAGTCTCAACCCCTTGGGACCACTCAAAGACCATCAGAAAACACAGATATTTACATTACGATTCATAACAGTAGGAAAATTACAGTTAAGAAGTAGCAACAAAAGTAATTTTATGGGTCGGGGGGTCACTCCAACATGAGGAGCTGTATTAAAGGGTTGCAGCATTAGGAGGTTGCGAGCCATTATTCTAATTAAATGGTTTAATCTTTCTGTTCTCTAGAGGGGGTGACAAATCTGAAGAGGTTGTTGCTGAACTCTAGTGTTTGTTGGTGAGTATAGGGACTGTGATCACTCACTCTGTTATGGTCTTTTCTTCCTGTAAAGGCCCAGCATGCAGCAGAAATTGGAGCTGATGGCATTGCTGTCATTGCACCTTTCTTTTTCAAGTCACAGAGCAAAGGTAAGTACCAGTGGCCTTTTTGAGAGCCTGCTCCAAGGCCACCTCCAGGGAATGCAAAAAAAAAAAAAAATCCTCGAGAGCCAAACATTTCTATCTAAGGGGTAAATAAGAAAATGCACACTTTCCAATGGTAACATTCTCTTTTACTTCATCTTGAAAAATTTCTTTCTGAAAACCTCTGTCTCCACACAGCGACTTCTCTTTACATGCAGCTACATGACCCTTCTGTCTCCATCACACCTCTCTCCTGCTTCCCCCTCTACAGCAAAGCCTCTGGATGAATATAAACCACATTTTCAGGGTCACACAGCACTTCTTGAGTAAACAATAAGAAACAGAACCGAATTGATCACACAGTTTTTATCAGGCTAGGGATGTCATGTTGACCGGCCCGTGAGTAATACTTAGCCATGCATGTAGCTCTAAGTGGTCAGGGTTCTCAGACAGAAAGCGACATTGAAATTCAGGACTTAAACAATAAACAGTTAGATGACTGAACCTTGAGGCTGGGAGTACGTGCAGAAAGTCCGTTGCGGAGAAAGTTACATCTACTAAAGTTACTTCAAGCCTGACCTTGAATAAGCAGTAAACCTGGGAATTTGACCCTGTGTATTCGTCTCCAGTCTATTTTGGATTTGCTCTAAAGTCTAAAATCAGCTAAATGTGTAAAAGACTGTCTTTGTCCTAATATTATTTCTATTCATCAGAATTAATACTTAAGCAGAAGCCATCTTCCCGACCACCCACAGCTATATGTTCGCCCCGTAGATAGAATATTTTCGCAAGATAAGCACACGAGAGGTGGGGAGAATACCCATAGCTGGCACATGAGGAAAACTGCAGACAGAAGCAACCAGTCATTCACAGTCAGTCACCCCACAGTCTTTCCCAATGGGGCTCCCCATCAGAGAGTTAGTCATTGATAGGTTGACCTGCTAGATACTCGTTGTCACCTGCTGTATACTCCCAAGGCCTCTGGCAGGTAAGGACGTTGGTCTGAGTGCACAGTACTTTGCCCTTTCCACCTCTTGCTTTCATTCGAAATAATTATCTTTAATTCATGAAGGCAAAGCCCTCCAGACTGGAGATGTGACATTGCAGTGGAATATCACTGCTCCCCCAAGATCCAGATAAGACTACTCAAGCACTGGAACTGACTGACCACCTACTGAGCCCCAGCTAGTAGGTGCCTTTGTTTGGGTTTGGTGTGCATTCCAGGTGAAGTAAGTGATGAGGTTTCAGAGGCATGTGGCAAAGCATGAGTCTGCTTTTCTCAAAAGAGAAGTGCAAACGATGGTAATTTTTAAACTCCATGTCCTATTTAGAATTGAGGAATTGTAATGAAATGAAAAGGGATTTCACAGAAATGGCCACTGTCAGCCAGGCACGCCTTTAGTTTCAGCACTCAAGAGGCAGAGGCTGGCGATCTCTGTGAGTTTGAGGCCAGCCTGGTCTACAAAGCCAGTTCCAGGACAGCCAGGACCAAACCCTCATGGTGTAGCACGCCTTTAATCCCAGTACTCTGGAGGCAGAGGCAAGGGGATCCCTGTGGGTTCAAGGCCAGCCTTATTTACAGAGTGAGTTCTAGGACAGCCTGGGCTACAAGGAGAAACTCTGTCTTGAAACTCTACCCCTCCCCCAAGAAAAAAACCTATTGTTTTCCAAAACAAACTATGGATTTCTTCTTCTATGATGGTTTTTCTGTAGGAACTATTTGTGTCCAAGTATAAGGAAATTTGTGTGTGTGTACATGTGTGTATTTTTTAAGATAGTCTCTCAAGTAGCCCAACCTTCCCTTGAACTCTTGTTTGGTTTGTTTATTTGGGGAGGAGGGGTGAGACAGGATCTCTCTGTATAGCCCTGGCTGTCCTGAAACTTGCTATGTAGACCAGGCTAGCCTCATATTCACTGAGATCTGCCTGCCTCTGCTTCCTGAGTGCTGGAATTAGAGGCATATGGCATCACCCCTGGCCTTCGAACTCTTTACAAAGCAGGAAATGTTGATTTCCTGATCTCCCTGTCTCCACTGATAAGGAACTTTTACTTGGGATGCGGTGCGGTTTGTAGAGTACTTGCCTAGCATACACAAAGCTCTAGGATCCCAGGTGCTGCATGCCTGAAATCCCAGGCCTGAAGAGGTAATGACAGGAGAATCAGAAGTTCAAAGTCATCTTCAGCTACATGGGGAGTTGGAGGCCATCCTAGGGATATATGATCTCCTGATTTGTAGGGAGAAGAAAGGGAGATAGTTGTGCAGAGGATTAAAGCCATAATTAAATGCATAAATAGTCATTTCATGACACCCATTGTTGTCAGATAGAAAACCATCCCTCATGTAGGTAAATAATTTATTTACTGATAGTTGGAAATTTAGAATGGACATTTTTTCATGCTATTTTACAATTTTTATGTAAGCAGTTTTTCTGAAAAATGAGCAGAGAGATGAATTATTCATAACAACTTTATTTGAAGCATTTCCCAAGTGCTGAGCATGTTTTCACAGTCCGCAGAGAAGAGATGACACATGAAATTGTCTCTCCCGCTTGGGGCCTCATCCGCAGTGTGAGCCTACTCTCTGCCGCCTGCGGTAGTGCAGCGTGAGCCTACTCTCTGCCGCCTGCGGTAGTGCAGTTGTGAGCCTACTCTCTGCCGCCTGCAGTAGTGTAGTTGACTTGATGACCAAAGGAAACCCACTTCCTTAACAGCCAGAGACTCGCTTCTGCTGTCCGATCAGTCCCTAAAGGGAAAGTGTCCAACGCTGTCGAGTGGTTATGGTGTGTGCCACCACTTTTTTTTTTCTTTTTCAAGATGGGGTTTCTCTGTGTGATAGTCCTGGCTGTTCTGGGACTCGCTTTGTAGACCAGGTTGGCCTCAAACTCACTGAGATCCGCCTGCCTTTGCCTCCCTAGTACTGGGATTAAAGGAGTGTGCCACCACCGCTGACCTTTTCTTTTTTTTTTTCTTTTTTTTAAATATTTATTTATTATGTATACAATATTCTTACGGCATGTATGCCTGCAGGCCAGAAGAGGGCACCAGATCTCATTTCAGATGGTTGTGAGCCACCATGTGGTTGCTGGGAATTGAACTCAGGACCTTTGGAAGAACAGGCAATGTTCTTAACTGCTGAGCCATCTCTCCAGCCCCGACCTTTTCTTTTTTAAGCTCTTTTAATACAAGGGCTTGAACCCAGGGCCTCAAGTATGCTGGTCTTCGTGCCACAGCTGAGTTATACTCCCCTCTTGTTTAAATTTTTAAGAAAATGTCTAAGTTACCCAAGCTGGTCCTGAGTTAATTTTGTTGCCCAGGTGGGCTGTGTATGTGTGCATGCATGCATACATGTGTGCCTGTGTATGTGTGTGTTTGCATGCGTGTGTTTGCATGCATACATGCATGCGTGCCTCTGTGTGTGTGTTTGCATGCATACATGCGTGCCTCTGTGTGTGTGTTTGCATGCATACATGCATGTGTGCCTCTGTGTGTGTGTTTGCATGCATACATGCATGTGTGCCTCTGTGTGTGTGTTTGCATGCATACATGCATACATGCCTCTGTGTGTGTGTGTGTATTTGTGTGTGTAGATATGCATATGCCTCACATGAATACACATGGCCACAGGTAAGTATGGGGGTGAGGGGACAAATCCTTTTAAGACTCAGTTCTCTTCCTTCCACTGTGGATCTCAGGGATCAAACTCAGGTCATCGGGGTTGTGCTACAAGTACTTTTGTCCGTGGAGCTCTCTCCCAGGCCCCAGGCTTTGAACTTCTGATCGTCTCACCTCAGTCTCGCAGGAAGCTGGGATCAGAGGCCTACGATGCCAGGTCCAGCTATAACTCTGTCTTAAAACTGAGATTTCTCTCTGTTGCTGTTGTAGAATTGTCCCAGTTACAGCCGCTTTGCTGTGACTGCAGTGTGGAACCCCTATTGGCCATTGTCACACTAGCCCTTCTGGGGTAAAAGGACTGGAGTCTGTCCTGACAGGACCCTGGTTTTCTTAGTAATGTGTAGTGAATGTCTCTCCATAGTGGGGAAGTACGTGCCTGGCTTTCCCCAGCCCTCTCCCCTTGTGCTGGTGACCAAACCCAGGCCCTTGAGTATGGTATGTATATACCTACCATTGAGCTACACCCTCAGCTCCAATTTGTGTGTGCATGTGTGTGCACATGTGTGCAGGGGCGCTTGCATGTCTATATGGAGGCCAGAAGTTGACGCCAGATGTCTTCTTTAATCACTGCCCACCGTATTTTTTGAGACGGGGTTACTCTCTCACTGGTCTGGAGTTCAGAGTCTGGCTAGCAGTCCTCAAGGGTCCACCTGGCTCTACTTCCCCAGTGCAGGAATTACAGGTGTGCACTGCTGTGCCTGTGGGTGCTAAGGATCTGAACTCAAGTCCTCATTCAACAAGCAAGGAAAGCAAGTACTGACTAGACCATCTTCCAGACTCCCTAGAACATTTTGCTCTCTTTCTTTTCTTTCTTCTTTTTCTTTGTTTTTTTGTTTGTTTGTTTGTTTGTTTGTTTTGAGAAAGGGTCTCACTTTGCGATACTGGCTAGCCTGGAACTTGCTATGTATATAAGGCTAGAACTCACATACACCCAACTGCCTCTGCCTCCTGAGTCTGAGTGATGGGGATTAAAGGTGTGCCCTACCCTGCCCAGTTTTTTAGCAGTGGATTAGTGTGGAAAACAATGCAATTATGATGTTTAGTTTTGTGTGTGTGTGTGTGTGTGTTTGCATGTATGTCTATGAACAACAATGCATGCCTGATGCTCTTAGAGACCAGAAGACAGCATCAGATCCTCTGAGACTGGAGTAATAGATGGTTGTGAGTCACTATGTGAGTATAGAAACCAGATCAGATCCTCTGGAAGACCAGCCAGTGTTTGTAATTGCTGGACCATCTCTCCAGCCCTCTTATTTTGGCCTCAAAAAATAAAACTTTGTGGAAGTGACATTGTAATCGCACAGTTGAGAATGGTAAGGACAGCCATGAGTTTCCAGTTTCTGAGACGATGACTGCATCGCATTAAATGAGTTACTTTAAAAAAAAAAAAAGATTTCCTTATTTATTATGTATACAGTATTCTGCTTGCATGTATGCCTGCTGGCCAGAAGAGGGCACCAGATCTCATCATAGATGCTTGTGAGCCATCATGTGCACACTTAGCCTCCGAGCCATCTCTTCAGCCTGAATGATTCACGCTCTCATACAGGAAAGCCATTGTTCTAATCTTGTTCACTTGACTCTTGTTCTTTCAGATGCCCTGATAAGTTTTCTGAGGGAGGTGGCTGCTGCAGCCCCTGCTTTGCCTTTTTATTACTATCACATTCCTTCCTTGACGGGGGTAAAAAGTAAGTATTGCTATATTTAACTATATTTAACTTTGTTTGTTTTATGTGTATGTATACAAGTGCTTTACTTGCATGTATGTCTGCACCACATGGGTGCTCGGTGACCACAGATATCAGAAAAGGGCAGCAGATCCCGTGGAACTGGAATCAGAGATGGTTGTGAGCTGCTATGTGAGTACAGGGAATCAGACCACCAAACTCTAGAAAAAGAGTCAGTCTTCGTCCGCTGAGCCATTTGTCTAAAGCACAAATATTGCATTTTTTTCCTACAATGTCTCCAACTCTCACATATAACATCAAGAAACTCCATTTGGGGGACCTGGAGAGATGATGACTCAGGGGTTAAGAACACTGGCTGCTCTTCCAGAGATCCTGAGTTCAATTCCCAGGAACCACATAGTGGTTCATGATCATCTATAATGAGATCTGGTGCCCTCTTCTGATGTACAGACAGAGCACTGTATACATAATAAAGAAAAAAAAAAGAAACTCCATTTCATCCCACCCCATCCAACTACACAGGCCACTGATGAGGCAGTTAAAGGTGCTTCAAAAAGAACTGTTCTAAGACTTCAGCCATTCATGTCACTTTATACAGTGGTCCTTGTGCTTTACAAGAAGAGTGGATAAAACTGGGTGTGACTGCACAAGCCTGTAATTCATGATCGGGGCAGGTGGACCAGGAATTTAAGGTTGTCCTCTGCTACACAGCAGGTTCAAGGCCAGTCTAGGATGTGTTGAGACTTGGTTTTAAAAGGAATAAGAAAATTTGACAGGCAAGTCAGGCTGCGGTCGCTCACACACCTTTAATTTAATCCCTTCTAGGTAGAGGCAAGTAGATCTCTGTGAGTTAGAGACCAGCCAAGGCTGTTATACAGAGAAACTCTGTCTCAAAAAAAAAAAAAAAGAAAGAAAAGAAAAGAGACTGGAGAGAGATGGCTCAGAGGTTAAGAGCACTGACTGCTCTGCCAGAGGTCCTGAGTTCAATTCCCAGCAACCACATGGTGGCTCACAACCATCTGTAATGGGATCTGGAACTGTCTCCTGGAAAGTGTATATATAATAGAAAGAGAGGGAGGGAGAGAAAGAGAGAAAATTTGACAAGCTAAAGCAGGAAGATTGGCATGAATTTGAAGTTAACCTATCCCATAGGATAGGAGGATATGTAGCATATATGTCGGATAGCTACACAGTAAGTTAAAGTCCAGCCTAGGCTACAGCACGAGATCCTAGACATCTATAACGAGCACTTTGTAGATCCATATTCATTTAGTCAGCTAGTTTTGCAATACTGGGTCTTGAACCAAAGATATCGCTCAAACTAGGCAAGTTGTCTATCACTAAGCTATATCCCCAGTCACCTCGTCAGATCACAGGATGGACTAGGGGTGGTCACCTCGTCAGATCACGGGATGGGCTAGGGGTGGTCACCTCGTCAGATCACGGGATGGGTTAGGGATGGTCACCTCGTTAGATAAGGAGTGGATGAAAATCTAAAGTACGGTGTTCACCTTGGATGTGCACAGCTTCCCATGAACAAAGCATGGCAATGCACACCTATAATCCCAGAACTTTTATGGTGGAGGCAGGAAGACCAGAAGTTCAATGTCATCCTCAGCAGCTTTGTAGAGACCACCCTAGGTTACAGGTGACCATATCTCAAAAAGAAAGAGAATCCATAGCCCTTTCTCCCAAGAGCCTGACTGTCCTGAAACTGACACTCACTGTATGTATCAGGCCAGCCTCAAACTCAGAGATCCACCTGCCTCTGCCTCTGCCTCTGCCTCCCGAGTGCTGGGATTAAAGGCGTGTGCCACCACCGCCTGGCTGAACACAGTCTCACTATATATCCCTACCCTGGCTGGCCTGGAAATGTAGACCAGGCTAACCTCAACCTCACAGAGACTGCCTGCTTTTGCCTCCTGAATGCTAGGGTTAAAGGTGTGCTCCAGGCCCAGACTGTTGCTTTGTAGGCCAGACTGGCCCCAGAATCACCTTGCCTCTGCCTTCAGAGTGCTGGGAATGGGAATACAGTCATGCGCCACAAGGCCAGCTCACGGTGGGAAGTGACAGTCTCTGTTGCTGTGTGCGTTGATGAAGTGAGTGTTTGTTGTTCCGAAGTTCGTGCAGAAGAGCTGCTTGGTGGGATTCAGGAGAAGATCCCCACCTTCCAAGGACTGAAGTTCAGTGACACTGATCTCTTAGACTTCGGGCAGTGCGTGGATCAGAATCACCAGCGACAGTTTGCCTTGCTGTTTGGGGTGGATGAGGTAAGTCATCCCCTGGGCATATCCCAGCTTTACAGTGATCTGTTTTATCTATTTATGATATGACAGCTCTTCTTGGTTCAAAAAAATGAGTCTCTTTGTCTCTTTCTCCTCAGCAACTGCTGAGTGGTCTGATCATGGGGGCAACTGGAGCCGTAGGCAGGTAAGCACAGCGTGTCCTTTCCCAGTGATTACAGATTTAAAGTCACTCCGTCCTCTCTAATAGAAATCATCTCCACGCCCATTCATTGGAAAGAAGCTGGGTAATTTGCTGGACTGGTGCAATTTGTTTAACTCAGTCATGGAAAGATGGACCCTAACTGAAAAAGGGTGGCCTCCTCTGCTCCTCTTCACCTCTCCCCACCCCTCTGCTCACTCTGGCTTTTCTCTCAAATGCTAACGAAATGATCCTCAAGCTTTACTAGGGAGGAGGGGAGGGAGGGAGGGAGGGAGGGAGGGAGGGAGGGAGGGAGGGAGGGAGGGAGGATGGATAATGGTAGGTAGGGAAGAGCATGGAGTAATGACACAAACCTATAATCCAGCACGGGGAGGTAGAGGCAGGAGGATTAGGATTTCAAGGTCATCCTCAGCTACTTGGAAAGTTTTTAAGAGAGTCCAAACTATTTGAAACTCTCAAAACTGACAGCAAAAGAGAAACATTTCAGTAGTGGTCACTAACAGGTTCCTCCCCACACAACGCCGTCCAGAAACCTGACAGGGGTCACCTCATCCATCACAGGATGGCCTAGCCAGATCAAGCCAAACTGAAAAAGTAGAACAGGTTTATTTGAGCAAAGCAACCCCTAGGCAGGTTCTCCACTCCCAGAGACCCAGGCCTGGGAAGCCGTGCCCATAAACAAAAGCAGGGAAACTTTATAGGTTGTAGGTGAGGAGTGATAACGTGTCCACCACAAGCTGGGTTTGTGCCCATGTGTGATCAAAGCTGAGCGTTTTAGGTTGGGGACTTACTTGAGTGGCTAGAAACTTCAAGGGAGGAAGCTGCAGTCACCGCCAAGAATGTAGAACTGAGCTTTTTGGTGCCTTTCTTGTGTTCAGAGGCTCTCTGAGCAGGCAGGGTGTGGGGGGAGAGAGACAGAAATGGGGCGAGCTGGGGGTTCTAACCAGTCACATGTAATGATCCATGCTTTTAATGCCAGCATTCGAAGGAGTGAGGTAGGAGGACAGCCATGATTTTGAGGTTATGGTAGCTAATAGAAAGACTTTGTTTTAGAGAGGGGGGAGGAAGAGACAACAAGCAATTGCAGGCTGCTCTTGCAAATCTCACCTCTGCAGGCTCCTTCAAGCACATGAGGCACATAAACTTGTAAGACGAAAACACATACACATAAAAATAATAGTTTTTAATCTTAAAAGGAAAGTTGTGTTATGTGATAGTATCCAGTGTCGTCAGGTGAGGCAGGTGAACGTGTGGACCGAAGGGGCCCAGGGACCCCATCTTAGCAGGGCCTCCTGTTAGCTCTGTAGACCCCGATGGTCAGTATCTCGGAGCTAGAGTGTCAGAAACTTAGTTACAAATGACAGAAATCCATTCAAACTAGCCTGTGTTTAAAAGACTAAAGAAGTAAGTTGTTATAAAAATCTGACAAATCGCATACCGCTTCACAGGGATAAATGCAGCCAGACCCTAGAGCCCACGAAAGCCAGAAACTATAGAGCTCTGAACAGCTCCAGAAAGCCACCCTTTCCCAAGGGTCAACTGAAGATGCTCACCTCGACATCTTCCGCATGCCTTTGTTTCTCTTCTCAGGATTTCATTAGCGTTGTCTGACCTAGTCTAGGATCCACCAAAGGTCAGCCCATCATGGCCAGGAAACCACGATCATGTGTGTCCCAGTTTCTGCTCAGCACAAGTTAGGCAGTGCAGTCAGCAAAGCCACTCTGCTTGCCAACTTTACTAGAGAATGCTGCAGGTCCAGCGACCTGTTTGCTCTGGCTGAGAGTCTCTTTCCTCAGGGGCTGCTAAGGCACCGTTCACAACGTGCCTTGGTATGCCTGCCTTTGACAAGCGCTGTTGACTTGATGCCTTTTAAAACATTGATGATCTGGCCGGGCAGTGGTGGCGCACGCCTTTGATCCCAGCACTCGGGAGGCAGAGGCAGGTGGATCTAGGTGAGTTCGAGGCCAGCCTGGTCTACAAGAGCTAGTTCCAGGACAGGCTCAAAAACCACAGAGAAACCCTGTCTCGAAAAAAAAAAACAAAACAAAACAAAAAAAAAAACATTGATGATCAAACCCGGTGCCTCAGGAATGTTATGCACACTGTAATACTACACTACACCCCCAGCCCAACTTGAATAGTCTTTTTTTATTGTGTTTTGTATTTGAGATATGGTCTCATATAGCCCAGGCTGACCTCAAACTCACTAGGTAGCCAAAGATGACCTTGAATTTCTGACCCTCCTGCTCCACCTCCCAGTGTCTAGTACCTGCTGTACATCCCAGGCTGGCCTCATACTCAAAGAGGTCCTTCTGCCTCAGTTTCCTGAATGCTGCGATCGTGGGCATGTGTAACCATGCATGGCCAGCATATGGTTTTTAGTACTTACCTCAGAGGCTGCTTTTGAGCCCCGGTTGTCTATCTCTGAGCCTGTGTGTGCTTCAGGCAGTCTCTCCCAGCTAGAGCATGCCACCAATTTTTTACTCTCCAATTTTAAAACTTTGTTCCTTTCCTTTTTCCCTGTAGCCTTTCTCTGTCTTCTCTGTTAGCCCTGCTTTGTGTTGCTGCAGAACTCAGCACTGAAGACAGACAGGTTCTCCAATCCATTGGCCCTACAAACAGACTAAAAGGGGCCCTCACTATATGTTTTCCTTTGTTTTGATTTTTTTTCTCCAAGACAAGATCTCATGTAGCTCAAATTCATACTCACTATATAGCTAGAGATGGCCTTTAACTCCTAATCCTCCTGTCTCCACCTACCTAGTCCCTATCTCTTTCCTTTTAAGCATCAGGTAAAAAGGGTTTGGATCTTTCCCACTGAATGATTAAGCTTGAAATATTTTCTGTTGTCTTGCCAGTACCTATAACTACCTGGGGAAAAAGACAAACCAGATGCTAGAGGCTTTTGAACAGAAAGACTTCACTTCAGCCCTCAATTACCAGGTAACCCTGTCCTACCCTCACTTGCCTGCGCAGAGCAGTTACACCGAGAAACCCTGTCTCAAGCAACAAAAACAAAATTTTAAAAAGGAACCTGCCCCATCCTCCCTGTCCCCATATCTAAAGGGACACAAGGCCCATATGGGACAGAATCCTCTCTTCTTACTACAAAGAATCTTATTTTTATTTTATTGTCAAAGTATTTTTTGCTGTAAAATAATAGTCATAGATTTTTGTTAAAGTGAGTACATGCCATCCTCAATTTTGTTGTTGTTGTTGTTTTTCAAGACAGGGTTTCTCAGTGTAGCTTTGGATCCTGTCCTGGAACTCACTTTCTAGACCAGGCTGGCCTCAAACTCACAGAAATCCACCTGCTTCTGCCTACCGAGAGTACTGGGATTAAAGGTGTGCACCACCACCACTTGGCCATTCTTAACTTTTTAAATTAATTTACTTTTATTTCTTGTGCTTTGATGTTTTGCCTGTATGTGCGTCTATGTGAGGAAGTCAAATCTCCTGGAACTAGAGTTGCAGGCAGTTGTGAGTCACTATGAGGGTGCTGGGAATTGAACCTGGGTCCTCTGGTTATGATGGTTTTGTTATTATGGTTTTGTTTGAGGGACAGGGTCTCACACTCTGGCCCAGGCTAGCCAGGAACTCATGGAAGGTCTCCTGCCTCAGCTTTGCGTGTGTTTATGTTTGTCAGGGGTGCAGTAAAGAATTACCAACATGGCAACTGGCTTCATTAGGGGAAGGTTTGGTTTTTCTTGTGGGTAAGAAAGGAGATACTAGAGGGTCTGGAAGGGTCCAGAGCAGGGAGAAAAGAAGGCAGGCTGGACATGGCCAGAGCTAGGGAAGCGGGAGAGCAGTGGGAATAGCAAGAGGGATGAGAAAGTAAGAGGATAAAACGTAGCAAGGGTGGATGGGGCGGACAAATCATTCGGATTATAGGGACGAGTAGCTGCCGGGGAAGCTCTCCTTTTGGGATTAGAAAACTTGCTCTTGCAAGTGCTGGCTTTTATTTAACTACCAGAAATCCTATAGTCCAGCTTGAGCTCATTTCTAGACTACAGAGGGCTGGAGACCTAAAGCTGCAAAAACAGATGTATGTGCCCACCTGTCCCCTTGAGGAAGTCCCGACTGAGTCACCAAAGAATAGGAGAAAGGATGAAGCTGAGAACCTAAAACGGGGAAGGGTCATCGGTGTACACCCCGAAGTGTGCTGAGAATGGGAAATACCCACCAGGCAGGAAACAAACTGCTGCCGCAAAGCAAGGTGCTGGCTTTGAGGAGTGTGTGTGTCTGTGTGCACACGTGTTGTGTTGGAGGACAGTTTTCAGAGTCGGTCCCCAGCTTGTTTGTGGGTTCCAGTGATCTAACTTTGGAGGTCAGGTTTGCACAACCAATTTCCTCTACCAAAGGAGCCACCTATCCGGCCCTGGTTTTGTTTTGAATTGGGGTCTTGCTGCCCAATCCTGGCTATCCTTGAACTAAAGCTCTGGGAAAGGCCATAAGGAAGGTAGAATTGCAGAAACATTTGCCACCACAGAAAGTTTGGAGGGTTTCTTGTGGGTTTAGGGGCTTTTGGGTTTGATTAGTTTTGTTTTGATTTTGACTTTTTGAGGGTCTTGCTATGTAACTCAGGAGGGCCTTGAATTTATGACTCCGCCTACCTCTGGGATTGCAGGCAGACTCTACCAGGCCAGGCTCACACCTGGTCTAATGCAGTGCTCTGGGTTGACCCCAGGGCTTCTCACATGCCAGGATGGTGTCCCTACCAACCAAGCTTCCTGCTCCTCCCTGAAGACATTCTTGGCTTTGCCACAGAGAAGGAGCCAGCATGAAGTAGGGCTAGAGCTTGCTAGAAGAAAGGTTTAATGTAACTTTAAGCATGGAGGTTAATGGAAAGAGGGGCTCAGGAAAGGGTGAGCATGTGCCTGGGTACTCAGTAAGTGTGTGGCCTTCTCAAGAGAGACTTGCAGTGTACTCTGGAGACTGTGACTGTAGATGGGATTTGGTGGGCACTGAAGTTACTATCTTCAAAGGGTCGCAAAGAAACTTAAATGAGGTCAGAGGGTGGTTCCTGAGAAGCAGCCGTTAAAGGTAAAACTCTAGGAAGTTAAGTTTCGCTAGAAACAAAACTCCATAGTTTTCTGGTTTTTACATGTATTTACCTGTGTGCACATGCACACACATGTGGAGTTCAGAGGACAGCTTGGTGAAGTTGAGTTTCTCCTGTCGTAGCCTGAGCAGATTGTGTTGATCTTATCGACTTCTTTCTGCCATTCTGATAGACCTACAGAAAGCTAAGGTGGCTGGACTTTGTAGAGGTTCCGTCATTTGACTTCTGAACTGTATAAATGGCTTTCGCGGCATGACGATACTGACCGCTGACTTCTCTGTTCTCTTCTAGTTTTGTATCCAGAGATTTATCAACCATGTGATCAAACTCGGTGAGTACCCTTGATGTTCTCGGCCTCGCTGTTGACCGAAAGCAATAGCGCTTACTTACCAAGCCAGGGTTGGTAAGAGGGACCATCATCTATCAGGCGTGGGTCAGAGGGGTCACAGCCAGACTGAGACTGTGACAAGATTATTGCAAGCAATCGGGCTTTTTATACCCTTATCAGAAACAGAATGTAATGGTGGTTACCAGGAAGAATACAATTGTAGTTGCCATGATACCATGTCATTTCATGATACCACGTCGTTTATGAGCTATACAGGGTCTACTAAATTAATATCTAAGGCTAATTGTTCTGTCAAGACTCTGTATGCTTCACTGACTTCTAGAGAAGCAAAGATAAACAGGCAGCCTCAATGCTCCACTGCCTGAGGGAATTTCTAAGGAACTGAAAGGCACACAGGGCCCCAAGAGCCACAGACTCTAACATGATAAACCTCGGATACATGTCTGTCAAGGCATCTAGACAAGGCCAACTCCATGATTCCCGGAGGCTGACCAGGTGTAAAAGATGGATTTCCACCACTCCCTATGAACGTTCAACCAGCATACCTACAGTGCTCAGTCACGGCCCTGGCAGTCAGGAGCAACTGAATAACATGACCGCGCACACACACACACACACACACACACACCACACACACCATTTTCTATTCTTTCTTCCTTATAGTATCAGCCCTCCCTCCCATTATTTGCCTCTACTCATTAAAATTCTGCTGCTGAGCTATGGCTGATTTCATCCTAAGTACTTGGAGGAAGGCAATCTGAGTACAGATCTTACGAAATTACGAGTGACTGACAGTTCCCCCGCGTTTGTGAAATGTAAAATGAGTTTATTAACGCAAGTAAATTCAAACAGTTGGGGGTTTGGATGACAAAGGGAGGTAAGGGGGAAACATAATGAGTCTGAGCAGAGGAACCTCTGCGAGGGTGTCTTAACTTGCTGCAGCCAAGGACAGGCGCTGCCGTTCACACCACTTCTGCAGGAGATGGGCCTCTGGGACAGCTGGACGTGGGTCAAGGCCAGTGCTCAGTGTGTTCTTGGCCAACCTCCCTCTCCCTTTCAGAGCCTTTCTGCCTTGCTGTAGCAGCTCTCTCCTCTGCTCAGCACCTATTGTCTACTTGGTCTCATTCCCACAGTTTCAGCAGCCTTCCCCGTCCCTCTGAGACAGTGTTTCTCTTTGCTTTCACCTTTGTCTGGTGACACTGTCATAGTGGGGTGCCTCTAGTTTTGTTGAATATCATTATTGTTTCTTTGCCCTAACCAATACGTTCCACAAAGATTATGATTTCAATACAATAATTACTTGTTTCTAGAGTACATTAAGATAGAAAATTAGGGGCCTGGAGAGATGACTCAGAGGTTAAGAGTTCTTAACCTGGAAGATGGCTGTTCTTCCAGAGGTCCTGAGTTCAATTTCCAACAACTGCATGGTGGCTCACAGCCATCCGTAATGAGATCTGGTGCCCTCTTCTGGCGGGCAGGCATACATGCAGGTAGAATACTGTATGCATAATAAATAAATCATTAAAAAATTTTTAAAAACATAAAAAATTAACTGGTAAAGAAGGCATAGTAGTACATGTCTGTAATTCCAGCACTTGGGTAGTGAAGGCAGGAGGACCAACATCAAGGTCATTCTTATTAAGGCCACCTGGGCTATAGTCTGCCAAAATAAATAAATGAAATATAAAATAAAATACCTATAGTTGGGTATAGTAGCACATGCCTGTAGTACCAGCTCCGAAGAATTGGTGGCAAGAGAATTTCCACAAGTTCCAGGCCAACTGGTCTACATGATTCAGGACAGCCAGGGATATACAGCTAGACCCGATCTCTGGAAGGACTTTAGGGGCTGGAGAGCTGGTTCAGTAGTTAAGAGCACTGGCTGTCCTTTCAAAGTGCAGATTCAATTTCCAGTACCCACAAGGTGACTCACAACCATGCTAACTCCAGCTCCAGGGGACTTGGCACACTCTTCTGACCTCCACAGGCACCAGGCACTCAGCACTCACGTGGTACACAAACATATGCAGGCAAAACACCCATGTGCATAGAATAAAATCTAAATTTTGAGAAGGCGGGGAGGGGGCAAGATGGTGTGTTAAAAGGATGTAGTGATAGCTAAAATTATGGTTAAGAACCAGGTGGTGGTGGCACATGCCTTTAATCTCAGCACTCAGGAGGCAGAGCCAGATGGATCTCTGTGAGTTCACGGCCAGTCTGGTCTACAGAGCAAGCTCTAGGACAGCCTGAGCTACACAAAGAAACCCTGTCTTGGGGCGGGGGGGAGAAAGAAAGAAAGAAAAGAAAAGAATGTTTAATGCTCTTCTAGAAGACCAAAAGTTCAGATTCCAGCACTCTCTTAGAGTTGCCCATGACAACTCCAGAGGATCCGACACCCTCTTCTGATCTCTGAGAGCACCCTGACCCATGTGGCAGACACTCACATATAAGTAGATTTACAAAAACAAATTTCAAAGGGGAAATGGAAATGATGTAATTTGGTTTTAGGTTTTTTTTAAACATTTATTTATGTATTATGTATACAATATTCTGTCTGTGTATATGTCTGCAGGCCAGAAGAGGGCACCAGACCTCATTATAGATGATTGTGAGCCACCATGTGGTTGCCGGGAATGGAACTCAGGACCTTTGGAAGAGCAGGCAATGCTCTTAACCACTGAGCCATCTCTCCAGCCCCTAGTTTTAGTTTTTAATTAAAGTTGGATTAGTCCGAGGTAGTGGCACACGCCTTTAATCCCAGGATTTGGGAGACAGAGGCAGGCAGGTCTCTGTGAGTTCGAGGCCAGCCTGGTCTACAGAGCAAGTTCCAGGACTGGTTCCATAGCTACTGAGAAACCCTGTCTCGACAAACCAAAAAATAAAAAATAAATCAAGTTAGATTAAAAGCTAGAAGAGAGCCGGGTGGTGGTGGCACCTTTAATCCCAGCACGCAGAAGGCAGAGGCAGGTGGAACTCAGTGAGTTTGAGACCAGCCTGGTCCACAGAGTGATTTCCAGAACAGCCGGGAATGTTTCACAGAGAAACCCTGCCTTGAAAAACAAAAACAAACAAACAAACAAACGAAAAAAAAATTAGAAGAGAGAAAGAGAACATGGGACACATTTCTATATTCTCAACAGCACTTGAGGTGCTGAGGCAGAAGGATTGTTGGAGATTAAGGCCAACATATATATACATCAAGTGTCACGCCAGGAAAAACTAAATAGCAAGACCCTGACTCAAAGCAAAAACAAGATGATACATAATTTTTTAAACATTTTTTTGCTTTATTTTTTTATTTCATTTTATTTGTGTATGTCTGAGCACATGCTTGTAGATGTCTGAGGAGGCCAGAAAATCATGTCAAATTCCCCGGAGCTGGACTTAACAGTCTGGATGTGTGAGCCCCATAGCATCAGTGCTGGAACTGAACTGGTCCCTCTGGCATGCTCTTAGCCGCTGAGCGCCCCCTCTCCTGCCCACATATACGTATATAGTCAACATCAGACCTTCTGCCTGCACCTTCTGACTATTGGGGTGATAGGTATAGACACTGTTATGTACCTTCTGACTATTGGGGTGATAGGTACAGACACCATTACCAGTTTATGCAGTACTGGGGAATACAACTGTGGCTTCATGCATGCCAGACAAACACACTACCGAATAAGCTACATCCCCAGCCTGTATTTAGTATTTCTACTTTCCTTTGAAAAAAATGTGCCTGTTCCTTTTCTCCGAATCTTTCCCATAGTGTGTGACTTCTCTTGCTTTATCCCCATAAAATCCTTCCGAATTTGCTATCTTCTCAGGATGTTAACTGTGTTACCTGCACCTTTGCTGGCTCTTCTGCTATTCCTTCTCATGGTGTGCTTTGTAACATCGAGCCCCACATTCCTTCAGAGACCAGGCTCCTCTGAGGACGCAGCTGTTCCTACGCTGCCGGGTGCCTCTGCGAGTGGATTTCCGTTTGCTCCTGCTAGAATTCTTTAGTCCCAGTAGTTCTAGTGTCTTAGTCTGGAGTCTAAAAAACTGAGTGGTGCAAACTCGGATTGAGCCTTCACTTGTGGCAAACGCCGGGGATATCAGGATGTCCTGTTGTCTGTGTCTATAGATATGTACTTGTGAGAGTGGGTATTACCAATGTCAGATATCTTCCTCCACTTTTCTCTTCTTTTATTTTCTTCTCCTTCCTTCCTTCCTTCCTTCCTTCCTTCCTTCCTTCCTTCCTTTCTTTCTTTCTTTCTTTCTTTCTTTCCTTCTTTCTTTTTTCTGAGACAGCATTTCGCTATGTACCCCAGCTGTCCTAGAACTCACTCAATAGACCAGGGTGTCCTCAAACTCAGAGATTCCTCTGCCTCCCAGTACTGGGATTAAAGGTCTGCACCACTACTGCCAGACTGATTTCTCTTTCTTTAGAAAGCCAACCTTCAGGGCTGGAGAGATGACTCAGCAGTTAAGAGCACTGGTGTCCTTCCAGAGGTTCTGAGTTCAGTTCCCAACAACCACGTGGTAGTTCACGACCATCTGTAATGAGATCTGACACCCTCTTCTGGCCTGCAGGCACACATCTAACACATTTAGATAACACAGTATCTAAATCTTTAAAAAAAAAAAAGAAGGAGAGGACTGGAGAGATGGCTCAGAGGTTAAAAGAACTGACTGCTGTTCCGAGAGGTCCTGAGTTCAATTCCCGGCAACCACATGATGGCTCACACCGTAATCTATAATGAGATCTGGTGCCCAGAACACTATATACATAATAAATAAATTTAAAAAAAAAGAAAGAGAAAGCCAACCTTCTGACAAAAAAAGCAAACCATAAAATAAATAAGTAAATAAATGAGAGAGTGAATAAAACAAAAAGAAAATAGAGAAAGCATAAGGAACACACACAGCTATAGAAACACAGCATTGGAAACTGATACACAAGCCAAAGACTGGGAAGACCAAAAAATTACCCAAACAAAGCAATATAAGACAAAAAAAAATTCTACAAAATCACCATTGCCTTTGTTTTTTGTTGGCTGTCTACTGCTGGGCTGTGGACTACCCTTGAGTGTAGCATATGTACCCAGTGAGGTTCTGTTGGACAGAACCAATGTCCACTTCCCCTCTCAGCACCACCTGACTTAAACCTATGCCGGCCTCTGTTGAGGGTGAGGACACGGGTCAAAGAATCCCAGGCTAACTCCAAAATATTCCAATGATATTTTCTTTGTTATAAGGGGCAAACTCACAAAACAGAAATGAGAAGTTCAACTCAGTGTAGTATGGGAACCACAGAGAGAAAACCCCGGGCTGGCTGGCAATTTTCTCTGGGTACCCAAAAGGTCATGCCCTAACCTGCTCCAACCTCTTAAAGATCATTGGCTGACAGTTCCCCCATCAGGCCTCTGCTTGCTGCCACAGTCTCTGAGTTCACATGTGCATCAGTCCTGCTGTGTCTGGAGAATCCTGCTTCCTTGGCACCACCTATCCCTTCTGCCTCTTGGGATTGTTCCACCTCCTCTTCCCCATAGTTCCCTGAGCCCTGAGTGGAGGGGTATGATGAAGACATCCCAGTTAGGAATGACAGGTCTCCACTTTATTTGTTGAGACATGGACACATCAGAATGCTATTGATAAAGCTCACTTGCTGGCCCGTGAGCTTCAGGAATCATCTACCTTAAACTCTTTTTTATAAAGTCAGCTTTATTATTTATTTTAAATTTATTCTTATTTCTATTTTATGTGTAAGAGTGTTCTGCTACATATATGTCTGTGTACCACGTGTGTCTGGTACCCCAAGGGGCTAGAAGTGGGTGTTAGGTCCTCTGGAGTTATGAACAGTTGTGAACTGCCATGTGGGTGCTGGAAATTGAACCCAGGTCTTCCTGAAAGAGCAGCCAATGCTCTTAACCACTGAGCCAACTCTTAACCTACGCACCCACCTTGAACTCTTGGTCCTCACGCTCCACCTCCTAAATGCTGGGATCATCAATGTGTTTGTTCCGCCATGCCTGGCGCCTTCTTACTCAAGGTTGATTTTTGACTCTGTAGGTTTTGTGTTTATTTGTTTGGGGTTGGTTGTTTGTTTTTCATTTGATTTATTTATTTTGAGTATATGTGTGAACTTACATAGCCCCATATGTGGAGGTCAGAGGCCAACTTGAGGGTATCAGTCCTCTCCTCCACCATGTGGGTCCTGGGAATTGAACCTGGATGGCTTGGCCGCATCTGCCTTTACATGCTGAGCCAATACTGCAGGTTCCAAACTTGACTCTCTGTATGGTTTTATTTGGTTTGTTTGTTTACTTACTGTAATTCAGGAATTTGAACCCAGAGACTCTCATATACTAAGCAAACATTCTACCATAGAGCTACACTCCCAGCCTCTTTTTGTTTCATAGTTTGTTAATTTGTTAGCACAACCAAGCGGGATTTATTTTAACATTCATTCATTCATCTATCTGTATACGCGCATGCTCATGTTATAGCATGAGTGTGGAAGTCAGAAGGAAACTTGCAGACGTCCCAGGGATTGAACTTCAGCTCTCAGGTTTGGCTGCAAGTGCCTTGACCAACTGAGCCATCTCATAGGCCCAAAAAGAACAATTTCTTTTTCAAAAAGATTGTATTTCATTGTTTTAGTTGTATGTTGGGGATGGTGAGGGGATTAGTGTGGGTATTTGCATCTGAGTGCAGTGCCGACAGAGATCAGAAGAGGGTAATGGATTCCTAAAGCTGGAGTTACAGGGGTTTCCTAGCTACCCTACATGGGTGCTGGGAACCAAACTGGGACCTTCTGAAAGAACAGGGACTGCTCTTAATTCCTGAGCCCTCTCTCCAGCCCTGAGGGAGGGCTTCCTATGCTGCTCTGTCTGTGTAAGATGGGGTCTCACGTAGCCAGCTGTAGCCCAGACTCACCTTGAACTCTTGATTCTCCTGCCACCACCTCCCCAGTACTGGAATTAAGGTGTGTGCTACCGTGCCCAGCTCAGGCAAACTGACAAGTGTTCTTTTATGTTTACCGTTCTCTTATTGTAGTGCTTACTTTGGCATATAGCCATTTTGGGGGGAGATGTTTGTGAGAAAGTGGGTGGTACCAGATATGTTTCACTCTTTATTTTTCCCCCTTCTAGGTTTTGGAGTGTCACAGACCAAAGCCATCATGACGCTGGTCTCTGGGATTCCAATGGGCCCACCCCGGCTTCCCCTGCAGAAAGCCACCCAGGAGTTTACAGCTAAGGCTGAGGCCAAGCTGAAGAGCCTGGATTTCCTTCCTTTCCCTGGTATAAAGGGGGGGAACCTGGGAGCCTGCAGCTAGTGCCTGTTAAGTCTGGGTATGTTTACTGAGACTTCACCCATCTTCAATAGTACATTCTCTTCTCAGGGACTTTTTAGATGATTTTGAGCTAAGCTTTCTTTTAGCAAATGGAATCCCACACTAATAAATATTTAAATAACAAATGTGGTTGTTTTATTTATTAAGATAGGACCCTGTAGCCCTAGCTGGCCTGGAATGCACTTTGTAGACCAGGCTGACCTTGAACTCAGAGATCTGCCTGCCTCTGCCTCCCAAATTCTGGGATTAAAGGAATGTACCACTACAGTCACCCAGCCTAAATATCAATTATGAACCTAAAAATGTTTGCGTCATAAAATGATGGACCCTGAATTTCTTGTAAACAACTTGTTTTCCTCTGCTCTGAGCACAAGACCCTAATGGCAGGCTGTTGGGGCTACAGTTGAAAGATACCAAGAGCCGGGGGTGTGGTCAGAGCCCTAAATAAGCTTCCCCTGAGCACAATAAAGTGGGCATTCTTGGCATTTTTGTATCAGAGATGACCCGGGTCCCCATGTCACTCACTGTGTGCATGTCTTTTTAAGTCTCCAGCTTAGTTCTCAGCTCACCTACCATCCCATAGTGCAGGTGCTACAATAAAGAAGTCATAAACCATAGGTTATTAATTCATAAAATAATTGTAGAGAAATATCTGGTTATATAGATGAAATGGGACCAAGTAAAAACTATAATAATAATTACAATTATTAATTATGTGAATTAATATAGTTACTATTATATTGAATACTGTATTAATTATATGATTGATTAATAAATTTCATCTGCCTTTTGGGAGCACTCATTGTCTTAATCTTAAAGTTTCTAATTTGAGTATTCTAGCTCATTGAATTTTTTTGTTTGTTTCTTTTGAGACAGGGTCTCACCGTGTGGACCAGGCTGGCCTTGAACAGACCAAACCCAGCTGTTTTCAAATAATTTAACTGGGACTGGAGAGATTGCTCAGTGGTTAAGCGCATTGACTTCTCTTCTAGAGGACCCAGGTTCAAATTCCCAGCACCCACATGACCTCATACCTAATCTGTAACTCCAATTCCAGGGGATCTAGTGCCCTCTTCTATCATGCATGTACTGTCCCCAGGGCCAACGATGGGACTGGATCCCCAAGAACAGGTAGCTGTCAGCTACCTGGTGTGGGAATTAGGAACCTAACTCAGGTCCTCTGGAAGAACAGCAAGGACGCTTAACTCCAATCCTGGTAATGCTCCTGCCCCGCCCAACAGGGTTTCCCTGGCTGGATGTCTTGGAACTGTTTGTAGACTAGGCTGATTTCTAACTCAGAGATTACCCCTGCCTCTGCCTCCTGAGTACTGGGATTAAAGGGGTGTGCCACCCCTGCCACCACCACTCTCTGACTTCTTTTCCTCAGTAATCAAATAGTTTTGTTTTTAACTTAAAGCTGGGACTGGAGAGATGGCTCAGTAGTTAAGAGCACTTGCTGTCCCGGAGGACCCAGATTCCATTCCCAGCACCTATATGACTGCTCACAACTATTGGTAACTTCAGTTCGAGAGGATCTGATGTCCTCTCTGGCCTCCACGGGTACCAGGCACACATGTGATTCACACACATACATCCAGGCAAAGCATTCAGACGTATGAAACATTTTTTAATTTAAAAAAAAGCAACCAGGGCTGGAGAGATGGCTCAGTGATTAAGAGCATTGCCTGCTCTTCCAAAGGTCCTGAGTTCAATTCCCAGCAACCACATGGTGGCTCACAACCATCTGTAATGAGGTCTGGCGCCCTCTCCTGGCCTGCAGGCATATATGCAGACAAAATATTGTGTATAAAATAAACAAACAAACAAACAAACAAATAAATAAATCTTTTTTTAAAAAAAAAAAAAGCAACCAGACCTAAGCTAATAGGATAACTTGAAGATAAACATAGATCTTTAGTTTTTTAAAAGTCAAGTGTGGCAGCTTGAATGAGAATGGCCCCGAGAAGCTCATGGGTTTGAATACTTGGTCCCCAGTTGGTCGAGTTGTTGTGGGAAGGATTAGGAAAAGGGGCACTTAAAAGAAATCCCGACTCCTAGGACAGAGAGGGCCTGAAGAAACAAGCTCCACCGGGAGCAGAAGCCAGGAACAAATCCAGCCTTGGGAGCCAACCCAGTCCCAGGACACTGGTGGATCAGGACTGAGCCAGCGACCAGATCCAGAGTCAGCGATCTCCACTAGAACAGGTCCAACTCCAAGCCAGGGACTTCTGCTGGAGAAGATCCAGACCAAGATTTACAGAAACATATCAAAGCCAAGCAGCCTAGGCCAAAGTAGACCTGAGACAGCAAACTCCAAGGGAGCAGACCAAGGCACAGGAGCACTGAGCTGTCTCCAGAAACAGGAATAACCAACGGGGTAACTAGAACTGTGACACTGACTGTACCACGAGCTTTGGATTCACTGGCACCTAGAAGATTATTCAACAGAATCCCAGACAGCCGCAGCCACACCTATTAGAGGAAAAGATAAATAGAAAAGGTAAGATCACATGCTACAACACAAAGAGTAATACAATCCAGAAAAACCTAAAGACCCTACAAAAGCAAGACCTGAACAACCAAATACGGATGAACCAGAAGAAAAAGAAGAAAATGATCTAAAAAATAACCTCAAGGGGCTGGAGAGATGGCTCAGGTTAAGAGCACATTGCCTGCTCTCCCAAAGGTCCTGAGTTCAATTCACAGCAACCACATGGTGGCTCACAACCATCTGTAATGAGGTCTGGTGCCATCTTCTGGCCTTCAGGCACACACAGAATATTGTATGCATAATAAATAAATATTAAAAAAATAACCTCAAGAGAATGTTTGAAATTCTTTTTTTTAATATTTATTTATTTATTATGTATACAACATTCTGTCTGTGTGTATGCCTGCAGGCCAGAAGAGGGCACCAGACCCCATTACAGATGGTTGAGAGCCATCATGTGGTTGCTAGGAGTTGAACTCAGGACCTTTGGAAGAGCAGACAATACTCTTAACCTCTGAGCCATCTCTCCAGCCCCATGTTTGAAATTCTTAAGATGAAATGAGAAATTACCTTAAAGAAATGGAGGAAAAAACAAACAAAAAATTGGAAGATATCAGCAAATCACTTAAAACCAAGAAAAAGAACTCAAACATATAAAAGAAACTATTCAGGACTTGAAAACTGAGATGGAAAAAATAAAAACACAAGCTGAAGGAATTGTAGAAACAGAAATCATGAGAAAAAGAGCAGGAACCACAAATGCAAGCATGAACAACAGAATACAAGAAATGGAAGAGAGGGGCTGGAGAGATGGCTCAGCGGTTAAGAGCATTTCCTGTTCTTCCAAAGGTCCTGAGTTCAATTCCCGGCAACCACATGGTGGCTCACAACCATCTGTAATAAGGTCTGGTGCCATCTTCTGACCCGTAGACATATACACAGACAGAATATTGTATATAGAATAAATAAAAATTTATTATTAAAAAAAATGGAAGCGAGAATCTCAAGTGCTGAAGATACAATAGAGGAAACAGACTCATCAGTTAAAGAAAACATTAAATCTAACAAAAGCTTAACCCAAAATGTTCATGAAGTATGGGACACCATAAAAAGGCCAAATCTTAGAATAATAGTTATAGAAGGAGAAGTCACAGAAAATTTATTTAACAAAATCATAGAAGGAAACTTTCCCTACCTAAAGAAAGATATGCCTATGAAGATACAAGAAGTTTACAGAACACCAAATAGACTGAATCAAAAAAAAAAGTCCTCTCGCCACATAATAATCAAAACACTAAACATACAGAGTAATGAAAGAATATTAAGAGCTGCAAAGGAAAAAGGCCAAGTAACATATAAAGGTAAACCTATCAGAATTACACCTGACTTCACATTGGAGACAATGAAAGCCAGAAGGTCATGGTCAAGCATTACGCAGATATTAAGAGACCACGGATGCCAGCCCAGACTACTATACCCAGCAAAACTGTCAATCACCTAAAAGGACAAAACAAGATATTCCATGACAAATCTAGATTTCACCAATACCCAGCCACAAACCCAGCCCTACACAAAATACTAGAAGGAAAACTCCAACCCACAGAAGTTGGCTACACCAACAAAAACACAGACAATTGATGATTTCATTACAGCAAATCCTGAAGAAGAAAAAAAGGACAAATTAACATCACCAATGATGAAAACTAAACAGGAGATAGCAACCACTTGTCATTAATATCCCTTAATGTAAATGGACTCAACTCACCTATAAAAAGGCACAGGTTAACAAATTGGGTACAAAAACAGAACCCATCCTTCTTCTGCATACAAGAAACTCAACCTCAAAGACAGACATCGTCTCAGAGTAAAAGGTTGGGAAAAAATATACCAATCAAATGGACCTAAGAAACAAGCAGGTGTAGCTATCCTAATATCTAACAAAATAGACTTCAAGCTAAAATCAGTTAAAAGAGACAAAGAAGGACATTTCATATTAGTCACAGGAAAAATCCATCAAGAGGAAATTTCAATACTGAACATCTATGCCCCAAATACAAGGGCACCCTCATACGTCAAAGAAACACTTCTAAAGCTTAAATCATATATTAAACCCCATACACTAATAGTGGGAGACTTCAACACTCCCCTCTCACCACTGGACAGGTAAATCAAACAAAAAAAAAATGAACAGAGAAATAAGAGAACTAACAGATGTTATGACTCAAATGGACTTAACATATCTATAGAATATTCCATCCAAACAGAAAAGGATATACCTTCTTATTAGCACCTCATGGAACCTTCTCAAAAACTGGCCACATACTCAGTAACAAAACAAACTCAACAAATACAAAAAAATTGGAATAACCCAATGTACCTTATCAGATCACTATGCTTTAAAACTAGAAGTCAACAGCAATATTAATTCCAGAAAACCCACAAACACATGGAAATTAAACAATGCTCACCTGAATCATCAATGGGTCAAGGAAGAAATAAAGGGGGGAAATTAAAGACTTCCTAAAATTCGATGAAAATGATCACACAACATACCCAAATTAATGGTACACAATGAAGGCAGTGTTAAGAGGCAAGTTTATAGCTTTAAATACCTACATAAAGAAGCTGGGAAAA